TAAATGATTTCAAATGAAAAAGTCATCAACAATAAAGTTGTATAACTCATCAATATCTAAAACTTTTGTTTTGGTCATTTTGCTATATGACTTTGTTTCAATAATTTGAATTTGAACTTCAAATTATGACAACTTCAAACAACATTTTAAAATATTAAATGATTTCCACTGAAAAAGTCATAAAAACAAAGTTGTATAACTCATGAATATCTATAACATTTATTTTAGTCATTTCTTCATCTGACAAAGTGACAGTAACATTGTTCACAAATTTTACACATCTCTCTTATAGTTTATAAACTATATAAGTGTCAGGGTTATGGATACCACATACCTAATAGTAGTCGACTAAATCTCGGCAGGACCCACCACATACCATGTCCTATACGGAAACAACCTGTGGATATAGGAGGAGTTTCGGATAAGGGAAGACAACCAGAGTTCTACATGAAAACGACAAGGACTACTCGGATTGTATCTATGGGTATAAATACAAGGCCCCCTAGGAGGAGAGGGGACACACCCACCATGGAAGAGACCCACCATAGACGACAATCAACATACATGGAACAATAGATCAAGACACAAGATCAACATACAAGCCAACATACGCCAAGACAAGCCGCCAGATATCGACATCAGAGATACGCCTGGATCGACCCTATCCGGTACCTACAGAGGCCGACCGTAGGGATCTAGCGCTGTCTTTGATCTCTCCGGGCACGAACTCGAGGAGGAAGACTACCCTGTTGTCGACTACGAGTCAGACCTTCATACCGCCATGTCGACAATAGTTAGATAGGCTACCCCAAATATTGTACTGGTGTGATTATGGTGAATAAGAGCAATACCGGCTTCGGCTAACAGGATGTAGGGTTATAACCTGACAATTCAGGGGCCCGAACCTATATAAAAATCCTCGTCCCCGTCTCTTTTACCTCAGTCTCGCGTATATCCTAGTACCAACGATCCCCATACTATGCAAATACCGGAATCGCGACATCAAACGTCGACAATAAGATATATGTACATTTTGTGAACAATGTTACAAATCACTTTGTCGGATGAAGAAATGACCCAAATAAAATTTATAGATCTTGATGAGTTATACCTCTTTGTTATTGATGACTTTTTCAGTTGAAGTCGTTCACTAATAAAAAATTCTATCTGAAATTCGCAAACTTTGAATTTCAAATTTCAAATTATTCAAATAGAGTCAGATGAAGAAATGACCAAAATAAAAATTTTGCATCTCGATGAGTTCTACAACTTTAGTTTTGATGACTCTTCCATTTGAAATCATTTATTACCCCAATTTATATTCGAAGTTGTCAAATTTTGATAATTCAAAATTTGAATTGTTTAAATGAACTTATTTGTAAAAACGGCCAATACAATAGTTGTATATCTCAATGAGTTCTACAATTTTGTTGTTTATGATTTTTACATTTGGAACACAAAAATCAACCTAAAATTAAATTTAAAGTTCTCATAAGTTGAAATTAAAAAGTACAACATATTATTTGTATTTTTTTTGCCAAAAACAAAACAGTGGTTGCGAACGATAAATTTTCAGCGTGGCGGGAGTCAAAAATATTTCACGGTGAAATGACCATTTTGTCTAGGAAACTTGTATAATGTTTGCAATTTAGAAGATGATCATATGATATATGACTTGGTTGTGCTATGCTGTGTACAGGGACCCAGTTTCTTCTGGAGAATTTGTATGAGGTTTGTTTTCTAGGCTGTGATGTCATGACTGGTTGAGCCTGTCATTCAACTCATTAGCTATATATATCAGGGTAGTTTCCTCTTGGGTTATTGTCAAAATATTGGAGTTTACTCTTTAACCTATTCTTATAATGCAGGGAAACAACATGAATGAGATCATAAGATTTAACAAACAAAAACGCCATGGTTTGGTCGAGATGCTGAAAGGCTTTGTAAGAAATCAGGTAGAATCAATAAAAATTCAATTACAATGTTATTCTTTTGTCTGCTGTTGTGGATCCTTTCAATCTATTAATGAAAAGCAAATGATAAAAATGCATCTACTTCTGTATTCCAACAAAATTCCAATAGTATTGATATGTGATAAGTTCGCTTCCTTAGTTGTGATATGTGATGATTGATGCATTACTATACCAGTAATCCAACAAACTATATGCAGGAGGCGCGCCCCGTCATCTAGTTCTTGAAATGGGTGGAGGAGCTTGGGACCGTGACACTGTTATGAGTGCTCGGCGAGCTGCATACAACAATCCAGAACGGGCTATGGAGTATTTGTACACTGTAAGAATCATTTATGCTTACCTTCCATTTTTTCCCTGTCTTGTTGCTTGGACTTCCTAATGTGCTATTATGTCGTCAAAACTTTTAAAATAAATAAGGACTCTCAAAATTTTAAACTCATAGAAAGATGTTGTTAATCTGTGTTATTTAAGTTTTTGCAATTACTTGTTAAAAATAATAACAATAAACAGATCAAAAAATAATTTTAAGTGACATGGGCACTTCTTGCCATTCCTGCGTTGGTATGTGCTCTTGGACAACAGGAAACCACTTATTTCAAACAATTGTTGCGTCCTTTTCTCTCCTTTGTACTTATTTCTTCCACTTCAGCTGTTTCTCAGGCACAGTTTTGTCATGTAATGAGTCAATCGGTGACTAATATATTGCACTTTGTGTATTTGATATAGGGGGTTCCTGAGCAAGCTGAGGCCCCTGCCGCAGTTCAAGCACTTCCTATCCCTGCTGCAGTTCAAGCATTTCCCACGAGTGACCAACTAGTTGATTTGCTGATTTGCTGTGTTGTAAATTTTGTGTTGTATTGGATGTTTGTCGGGTTGTGTTGGATGCTAATTGGGCTGTAACCTTTGTGCTATATGGGTTGTTATTGTGTTTGGTTGTTGGGCCTATATGGGCTTAGCCCACTTGTTATTTGATACTAATATAACGAATATAATTTGATGGGCTGAAAATGGTGTGGTATAATGTTTGGGTCTATATGGGCTTTTGCAATGGACTTGGCCCATTTATTATTTCATATTAAAGCAAATGGATATAATAGAATTGGGCTGAAAATATGCTACACCATAGATAGGCCAGGCTAAAATCTAGTCGGGCTTGCCGTTGGGCTAAGCCCATAAACATGGTGCTCAATACATGTATTTTAATGGGCCATTAGATATTTTATGACGTTTTTTAGGCTAGATAATGACGAATATGAGCGTCACAAAGTTATGACGACATAAGGATCATCACTAGATTAATGACGAAAAAATAAGGTTTCGTCATAGAATGCCATTAGAGACGCATGATAGGTGACGAATGAATTTTCGTCACGCGAGCGTCGTAAATTACGGAACGTGGCGAAAAATTCAATGTTTGTGATGTAAATGAAGCATCATCTATCATAAGATCTCTTGTAGTGATAATTAGTAGCTCATCCCCTTCCCTTTTTGTGCTCATCAAGTGTATGAAACACATCACCCAAATAATTAAAACTACCTATTAAGTAGCTCTTTCTTTTAGAGATCAACTAGCAATAATCGCGCGCTCCGCTGCGCGTGCGCGTAAGATGATACATAATAGGTGGTTGTCAGTGATATTTTTAATCATACATAAGATGAAAAATTTATATGTAAGCGAGCACAAAGATATATTTATAAGTCTAAACTACTCAATGTGCCTGAGCCCTTACAATATAATTGTGGGAACACCCAATTTAGGCTTGGTGCCCCGAAAATCCACTCGTGATCGTCCAGGATTTCGATCACGCACAGATTGATATACAGAACAGCTTTCAATTATTTACACAAGTTTGTTCATACAAACTAATTATACAACTGTTAAAGGGTAAAAAGATTCAAACTAATATATCCTTATTTGAAATACAAGAAAATCCAAAGCTCTTCAACTACTAAAACTACTAAAACTACAACCAATAAACTACAACCAATAAACTCCAAAGAACTTCAAAGAACTCCACAGGCAAAAGCTCGAGTGTAGATTAGCCTAGAAGAAAAACTTGTCGTTGCCGTAGATCTCGCTGCCTTCCAGATTTCTTGTTAGTTTAACTATATGTCAAATTATGCAAGGGTGAGTACTTATGTACTCAGCAAGACATATTATAAATAATTAAGGTGAAGAGATATGAATACATAAATCAATAAGAAAGTAAATGAGTAATAAAATCATATATTAATCATATCCTCAAAACTTAAATTTTAAAACTACTTATACTTCAGGAGTAGGAATCACCCTGATGACACAACTCCAGAACCGGGAGTACGCCACATTCGAATGATTTAATTCACCTCTACAGAGACTGTCCAGCTTTACCCACACGATAAGAACAGTTTGCAAGACTGAAAACACCATAGCCGTTCAAAAGTCCCACTTACTACTAGTTACTGCACAGTGGGGTGTTGGTTCATCATAGTGGTCGAACTCTTGCCAGGCCTAAGACAAGGTATCTATATCGTCACACTTTCATGAATCCCACTGTTGTGAAACACTGCCCCCTAACTCCTTACGCATGTTCACCCCAACCGCTCATAGAGCCACCTAACAGTCTTTCATATAGTGGGACAATGTACTAGGCTAAGTCCAATTACTTGTCATGTGGATGGACGCAACTATATCACTTCCCATGGTATAAGGAGGGTAATTATAATCCGGTTAAACCACCCAAAACTTTCCAAACTCCCTGCACCAACAAACTTCATTATATATAACATTCAAAAATACCCATTTTAACCGGATTCCTAAGTTTGTAAAGATGTTTGAATAATAAATCACATAAAATGATGTTTAGTGTATCTTTCCATAATCTCATATAACAATGCTTAAAAGCATTAAATATCATTTTAAGCCACCACAATGTTATTCTAAAGTATAACATCTACCCATGAGATGTTAAAACAGTAAATATCATGCATCAAATTTAAATATGAAGATTATATCAAGTTTTCTATATGATCAAAATTTTAGTTATGTCTTGCCTTGCGCCTTAAGATTTCCTGCGGCTTCAGCGTAGCCATCTGGGTCCACGTCAGCTCCTTGGATGCCGATAGAACTTGTTGTACGGTCTAACGTACGAATACGAAAAAGATAGCAAATAAAGCCTATAAGCAAATTGCTACAAAGAAACGATAAAGCCAAGAAATAAATAAAATTGGAGCGAGGTGAGAGGAAAAAGGAAATGGGTTAAAAATAAACTTTTAACTTGAAGAAGAAAAGAGAGGTGATGGTTTCTATAGGTTGGAAATTGAATAAAATCGAAGAAAGGATAATTTTGGATAGGTGGGGTTTATTTGGTGGATTGGTTTCTAGTCGATGCTAGGGTAGAGTAGCACGACGGCTAGATATTTGGATTAGTTAGCCGATGCTAAAGATGGGCAGCATAACGGCTAAATATCGGCTCGTCTAGTCAATGCTACAGCTAAGTAGCACAACGACTAGTGAGTTAGGAGATTTGTGTGGAGGGGAACAGTGTTACTCTGCAGTCATGAGTGACAACAGAGCGGCTAGGGTTGCACATAGCTCAAGGACTAGTGTGCGGCGTACTGTGGAGGTTGAGGGAGTAGTGAGGCTCCGACCACTGTAAGCGTTGAGGGCTTGAGGCGTGGGGTGCGAAGAGCGACACTTCAACCTTAGGATTAGGTGATACCGGGTTTTACGACCAACGGTTTGACGTCGAGGTGTAAGACCACGCGAACGTCTCCATGGAAGGAGTAAAGTTCCAAGGCAGTTATTTGGTGGCTAAGGGATGGTTTTTTTTAAAAAAAAAGTATCAAATAAATTTGAATTCAAAAGGGGGTTTTAAAATAGATTAAAGAAATAAAATTTAAAATGGTATTTTAAAATAAAGAAAAGGGCATCTAAAGAAATTAAAGGATAATTTAATTTTTAAAAAGGTTTTTAAACGATAAATTTAAAAATTAAAGGGATATAAAGTAAATCAAATAAATTTAAAATAATTTTTAAAGGTTAATTAAAATAATTTAACATTAGAAAGTAAATAAATAAATAAGAAAAAGGTATTTAAATAAAATTTTAAAAATAGAAAATTTGGTATCAAAAGAGAGGGTTTGAAATTAGATGAATTTAGGTCAAAGAATTTTTGGAATTGGATCAATGGTTGGAGAGATATGGATGCTCAAAGATTGGAATTGGATAAAAGAAAATGGAATTACTTTATAAAAGGTGGGGCCCGCTTGTCATATGTTTCTTCTACCTCTTCTTCTTTTCTTCTGTCTGGCAGTCGAGAGGAAACAGAGGGGAGGGCGAGCGAGGTGCCAGCTCTCCGGTGGCCGGGAGGTAGGAACGCCGGTGGGAGATGGTGTTCCCGAGCAACGCGCACCCGGGGAAAGTGGTGGAAGGCGGAGGGAGAGAGGGAGATGGCCGGAACGGCGGTAGCAAAAGCTCAGACCGGCCGATAAGAGAAGGTGGTGGTGGCGGTTTATCTTAAGGTGGAGGGAGAGGGGAAAGGAAAAAAATGGAATCACCTCGACGAGGCGGAGTTGGTGGCGCGAGGGTTTGTCTTGCGAAGCTCCGGTGAGGGAGATCGGCCAGTGGTACTAATGGCCGGACATGGGAGAGAAAGAGAGAAAGAGAGCTTGAGGAAGTCGGTTTGTGTGTGGAGGAAGAGGGGACCTCGTCGTCCTTTTATAGGCGGCGAGAGGCGGTGGCGTAAGGCGGTTGCGGAGGAGGAAGATAAGGAGAACTCAGCGACGGCGGCGTGGAGAAGTGGAGCACGGCGCCAGCTCTGTTCGTTGATTGGTTGGTGATGGCGGTTCGATTCGGCGGCTGACGTCGGCGGCGTGACGTCGCAGCTGACGTTGGTGACGGATCCTTCGCCTCGAAGGCAAGACGACGGCGGCGGCGCAAAACGGCGGGCGGCATCGGGAAGTGGCGAGACGGCGGCGACGGCGGCGCCCTGTGCGTGCGCCAAGTGCGCCCACAGGAGGAGGGAGCGGCTCGGCCATGGGCCGGCTTGGCTCGGCTCGGCTGGGCTGACAGCCCAAGAGGGAGGAAGGAGACATGTAGACTTGTGCTGATTGGGTTAATTGAAGGGAATTTGGCCCAAAATGAATAGGGGTTTTATGAATTTTGTGTGGAGGGATTTGAAATGGAATTTCAAAGGAGATGAAAACTAAGGGAAAATTTGAATGGAGGGTTTTAATAGATTTAAAAGAGAAATATTTGGGGGTCTTTTGAATAAGGGTTTTAAAGCAAAAGGAGTTTGAAATATTTTTTAAAATAAAATCAAAGATATTTATTTTAAAATAAAAATAAAGATGCTCCAATCTTTAAAAGAATTCAATAAGGATCAAAATGCTCCAATTTTATAGAATTCAATAAGAACCAAATATAAAAATTGTCACAAAAGATTTTCTTTAATATTTAAAATGTAAGATTGAAATAATCAAATGGGAGGAAAAGGAACACAAATAATTGATCTTCTAACTTTAGATAAATTTTGGGATGACGTCAAAAATAGATGGGGGTAAATAATTAGGATTTTAGCCTCCAAAATATGTGGTATGGATTCTTGATGAAATATTTGTGGCTAAAGGAAGTTGGACTTTGAATAGAAGGGATTGGAAATAAGTTTCTTAGCACAAGAGCAATCACTCAATTATTTGTGATAGTATAGTTCTTGTGCCGAGGAGGAAATCAAGCCATAGGAATCAAACAGGTGGCTCGATCAAAATAGGAACTTGACCCTAGAATATTTTGGATCGATGTAGAGGAATTAAAGGTTTTTCGGGATAGGTTTAGATAGAGGTGTGATCCAAAATAAATTCCAACAAAAAGGGAGTTATACCGGTTTAGTCCCAAAGATAAAAATGGTTAATGGGATATAACAGAGAGTCGGGTCAATCGGGGAAATATTGGCCCAAGCTAAATAATAGACTTTGAAATCTTGAATGGATAATTTAGATAAACGATATTTCAAAGGGGAAATATTTGTGGAAGATAAAACTAAAATTGGTGGTAGTGTGGTAAACTCTAAATAAAAAGGTATTAACTCTAGAGAAATTGATATTTCATGTGCTCTAGAGATGGTTGAACGGGAATTGAAAGGGTATTTGTTGGAGGTGTTCGGGAATGGATTCAAAGGAAATATAATTTAGAGCCAAAGTTAGAGATTACAGAAAATAAATGGAAAGGTTTTATAAAATTTAAAAGAGCGATTAACTTTGCAATTAAAGTTTATGTCCAAAATAAAAGAAAAGATTAAAAGCAATATCACTCCAACGCAAGAATCGAGAAGAGCATGACTTAAAAATAATTCGCAAAAATTTTTCCCTGAAATTTTGAGTCCGTTTCAATAATGATTGCACACGGCTGGCACATGACACATTCATCTGGTGAACAAAATATATACTCATCTCCAGATTCCTGTAAAAAAAACATATCTCCAGACTCCACATATATAGCATGGGCATTTTTTGGAATCCCATATGCCATCAGCTCCAATCTTTTTGGTTATCTAGTTAACTACAAACAAAGGACTTTCAGAAAAGACAAACCATTAATAATATTGATTGGTACCATCAGAGAATAAAAGGAGATCATAAATAAGATGGTTAATATCAAGAACACATAACCCATAAGCACATACTAAAGTTGGTGATTTCTCAACCTGGTGATAACAATTGAGAAGAGTATGAATCTACTACAGACATTGCATCTCTTGATCTGTCTCTGCTCACAGTGCTACATATATATATATTGCATTCTAAAATAGTAAATACTATCTAAATGCCCAAAATGTAGATAAAAAAAAGAAAACATTGGACTATTCATATCAACAATTTTAGCCATTTATATCTGGTATTGATACTACCATCTATATTTAGGGCATGTCTCAACATGCTGCCAATTATCTTGTTATACAAAGAGCTTGAACTGAGATAATGAAGAGATCGTAAAAATGTGTATTTGTGGTCTATTAAATTCTGGCCAATATCAAAATCTCGAACTGAAATATATATATTTTTAACCATTGTAGTTGTTTCAATATAATTCCCGGGATAATGGAGCCTACTCCAGATATGATGGCTAAAAGACTTGTACCTCAATATAACATCGTTACTTTAAAGACGCCACAATTATCTGTCTAAACTGAAGCCTGAAGACCATGAGGTTCATCTCTTTGAAAATGAACTCCAGTATCCAAATAAATATAGGGGCAAAAATAGGGGAGCAACAAATCAATAAAAAATCAAACAGAGGCAAATGCACTGGAAGGAACATACTGGCACATTCGCATTCCTTGGTAAGAAATAAAGGAATTATAGAATATATAGCTTTGCATTAACCAAGTGGCTTAAGTATAAACCAACTGGCTTGTTATAAACTAACAATATTATCTGAATATCATCTAATACAATGTTCAACCATACTTCAGATTTTTAAGGTAGGAAAAATGTACTGACCTCCCTCCTTATTTAGGGTGAACACCTTATTCCGAGTCCATGTATAGATCAAGAATATAGAGAAAATACACTGAGAACTAAAATGCAAAGAAGGCAGGAAGAACTGCCAACCTAATGATCTATCATACATATATCAGGAAAGTGAGCTAGTAAAAATGGAGATATAAACAAATGGTACCTTTGGACTGGCCAAATTGGAACGCTGGATGCAATAATATGTCAGGATTGTCAGGTTCACCGAGAATCTTTGATGTCATCAGAAAATTTAAGCTTTGCCGGGTCATATGTAATACTTCCAGATTCAAGTCCATGTTTAGTGTGTTCTATTTCTTGCTGACAGCGCTACTCATTTCCCGTTTGCACACCTGATAAGAAGCACAGAAGGGAACTTATTACCAAGGAAGAAAGCTGAAGAACTTAGTTTAACATAGCTTGCATGTTCCATTTGGAAAATAAAATTGGCTTCACCTTTACACTCACTATAACAACAAAAATAACCGGCATGTATCATGGAACTATAATAATGTGATGAGCAATCTGACGACCACATGTACACCCGAGAGAAGACTGTCCAGACCTCCAAACAGAAAATAACCTCATGAATACTTTGGATGGGAAAAATATTGTTCAGTAGGTGCCAACAAACTAAAACGGTGAAATGTAAAAGGCGTAGAAGTTGGTAATATAAATTACTTCCAATAACCAAATAGAACAGTACATAACAGACCTACAACATATTTCTTTGGTTCAAAGCACATTGTAGTCAATATGGCAAATTTTGGTTGTATCAAATATTGAGAAAGCCTATGGAAACGGAAGTCATGGTACTAATAAACCTGATATGCAAAATGTAAGAACTAACCAATTCAAATTACAGATGGATATTTTGTATGCTTAGACAATGGGTAATTCTAAAGATAAAATACAACATTGCAGTTATTATTATAGATTAATGATAGGCATATATGTCACTCTTGTGTTCCCAACCAAAAGTACATAGAGAGACTATGGCAACAGTTCGTATTAATACTGCAACACTAATGTGCAAACAGGTAAAACTAATTGTATAGACAAATGATCTATTAAAACTCATGCTCAAAGAATGAAGAAGAGCATCTAGGAGACAAACCAAATCATAATATCAATACACTCGATTCATATACAATATATGCATGACAGAAGGAGATGATTTGATCTGTAGCTGGGTGGTGATGTTTAAACATTAGTACTGAATAATCTAGCATTCTAGCCTGCACTCCCTTTTTTCTTTCCTTCCTACCAATCATGTGAAACTCACAATGAGCAGCAAATCAAGAATAGAGAGCAGGGGCTAGAACATATATGTATATATGCATATAATAGGGAGAATCAATGTTTTAGCAGTAGTCATGTGGAAAGAATGAAGAACATCTAGGAGAAAAACCGAAGCACAATGTCCCAATTTACTTGCAGCCGTCGTCACCATACCTTGCCATAGTCTGTGCCTTTCTGCCGTCGTCGCCATACTTTGCCATAGCCCATGCCTTGCCGCCGTCATGGCTTTGGTGCCCAAGCTGCTGCTCTTGCTCTCCCCATCCTCCTTGAAACCGGTCGGCACGTGTCCTCCTCGTACCAAATCCAGCAGCCCCTGAGCTGGATCTGGCACCGAGGGGAGGTGAGCGGCGTAGAGAACGGGAGGAAGAGGGTGGAGAGCAGCGTTGTATTGCCGAAGAGGGCCACGACCGAATCCGCCATTGGAAAATCGAGGGAATCGGACCTGGGACCGCATCAGGCATAGAGGATAGGGTGAGAGAGAGGCTAACGTGGAGATGAGATGAAAGAGGAGGAGAGGGTGCAGTGGCTTGCACCACTCTCGTCATTGCACCCCTCTCGTCCGGGCAACCGACAATCCACCAGCGAGGAGGCCGCCGTTGCCGGATCTGGAAGCCCTGCCTTCCTCGCCGGCGAACATGACGGGCCTACCTGCCGGCGCGGGAGCGAGGTGTGATTTTCGTCTTACGATTTATAAATTATTTAATAAATTGTTGTATGAATTTATATTAAATGTTTATTAATTTATGAGTTAAGTTAAATGTGGGAAATAAAATTTCCTAAATATAAAGCATGGATGAATTTAATTTTTATTAAATTCTCCATGATTAATTATACTCTCTGGAATTTTCTCAGATTTTTCAGAGCTCAATTATTAATTTTAGTAATACAAAAAACATTTCATTAATTAGTTAATCAATAAGATAATCATGAAATGATCTATTTGTAATTTTGATAAGTGCTTTGCTTGTTTAAAAATCCTTAAATTATAAATTGAATTTTTATAAATGATCTTAAAGGCCTAAAAGAAAAGATCTAAGTTTAGTTTAATAAATATCAATAAAAATGGGCTAGATAAAATTTTGGTAAATACTTATCTTGTTTCTATAGTTCCTAGATTTTTATGGGATATATTTGAGCCAAGGAAGTATTTTTAATAAATGGAATTGCATTTCATGAATAAATTTAAATAGAAAAGGTTTTTAAATCTCCTTTTCGGCTTTGGGCCAAAAGTCGGCCCAGCCTTCCCTCTCTCTTCTCCGGCCGCGTGCGCTCGGCCCAAGTTGGCCCAGGCCGAGCCGCCCCTCCTCCCTACATCCCCTTGTCTTTTCTTTCTTTGTTCTCAGCCGGCCCAGACTGAAAGTCTACTTTTCTCCCTCGTTACTGTTCGTCTTCAACCTCAGGACAGCCGAACCGAGACCGAGTTGGCTCGGTTTTTCTCCTCCAAATCCGGCCTTCTCTCTAGTGTATTCTTAAAATTAGTTGAGGGGAAATATTTCCCTTATCTCCCTCTTTCGTTTCCCCCGAGAATCGGAAACCAATTCCTTGTATTTTATAAGAATCAAACTCGTTTAGAGTTTATCTCTCCAACTAAAACATAGGATTTTCCGCTTCGATTCCTCTCGTTCCGAGTTCGATCTCCTTAATCCAAGCCTATAAATAGCATCCCCTAGTCGTGCTTTTCCGTTTGGCCCGAGTTTTAGCCGCAGCCGCCTCCTATAGCGCCGTCGCCGCGCAAACCTAGCTCCGTAGCCGCTTCAGCCGCCTCGCGCCGTCGCCGTGGTGGTCGCCGCCGGTCGCCGTCGCTATCACCGGGTTCGCAAGGAGGAGCCGCACCCCGTCCACCCCTCCGTTTCCGCCGAAGCCCACCGGAGCACCGCCGACGCCGTCAAGCCGAAGCCCGCCGCTGACCCGACCTCGTCGCCGGCCGTTTCCCATCGTCGTCCGTGGTCGCGCCGCCCCTTGTGAGTTCCCCGCGTCGTGCTCGTCGCGTTGGTGCCCTCTGTTCGCGCCGCCGTGCCCTAGTTCGCCGGCGACCAAAGGAGCCTGAGCCGCCGGTGATGACGTCATCGATGATGTCATAAAGCCTTTTTTTTTCTTTTCTAAAATAAATCGCAAATCCTTTAAGGTTTAAGGCTAAAATCAGATTAATCTTAGAAAATTCATATCTAATTCATGGTAAGTCGGATTAATGTGATTCAAGTTATAAAAATTGTATAAAATAAAGACCTATATATTAAAATTATATATAAATTGTGTTATAAATTTATTTAATTTATTTGAATAGGTTTAATTGAATTAAATCTTTTAAAATTCATAACTAATTCATATGATGTCAGAATGAGGCTGTTCAAGTCTCTAAATTCATCTAAAATCAAGATCTAAATATTTGTTTACTTTTTATGTACTGTTTATTTGGTTTTTATTAGTCTTTTTCTCCGTTGTGCGTGTTAGCTTGTCGTTTCCATTGTTTCGAAGGTTCGTGAGTGCGTCGGAAGTGTTCAAGAAGACTAATTGAAGACCGATTATTGCAAGGCAAGTCACACAGACCCTAAACACAATCCTTTGAGCATGTTGATCCTATATTTAAATTCTCTATTTATTTCAACTGTGCATTTATTTTCGAATATCACTGGGTGGTGTGAACCTTTCTTTGTTATGGCCAATTTGCATTGATTACCCTATTCTTTGATACCTTAGGTTATAATTTGACTAGTTGGACTTTATATATTGGTTCAACTAGATATATATTAGTATAATTGCTTAGCTTTGCTTACAAACATTAGCACATGATTGGGATAACTAATGTTACACTATCACTTCTGATTATATTTAATAATAGCTCACGCTGGTCAATCGTGATTGGTTAATTAATTACTTGCCAACTAAAACTTGACAATGGTGGGTTGTGAGCATATGGTTTTGAAGGTCGTGCTCATGACAATTAAGGACCGGTTCGCGAGCTACTGTTGTGAGACATTAATCGTGCCAACCACAAGCCAGCGTGGGCAACGGCTTTATCTTCTGTATAGCATGGTTTATTGCGGGGCGCCAAACTGTGAAGTGGCGAGAAGTCCGTGGGGGTCGTTGGGGAGTCCATGCCTCTAGATATTGAGGGGGTGATTATGATCCAGGAACGGTGCACTGTGGTGATTTGTGTTGTGCAGAGGGTATTGTCACAGCCTCTATTCGGGTACTTTCCAGTATCGCGACGCATGGTAGACATGATGTTGAGGCTGTGTCTTGTGGGTACAGTGGTACACATCTGGCCAGAGTAAAACTATTCGAATAGCCGTGCCCGCGGTCATGGGCAGGTTGAGCAATGTTTTTCGTGATTAGTCTCATACCTCTCACAATAATTATTGATGCTATAACTGGTAATAATTTGCTTAGCTCCTGGTTTGGAGTTAGATCTGTACAGCCGTGTATGGTTGTTCAGGATGGTTGGGCCTGAGCAGTATGGGTGTGCTGTTCAGTGTTGATTAAAATTGATGATTAATTACTCTACTGTTTTACTACTCCTAAATGTTTGCTAAATGCTGCTTTTGCAAATGAGCCTATATTATGCTATCCTTTGGTATCCTTGTGCACTTACCCCTTGTGGGCCTAACCAGAGGGTTTTCTCATGTACTACAAAACCCAGAGAACTCTCTGAAGCCAGTGCGTTTCCTCCATTCCGGAATAATCTAGCCAGGGGTATTTTTGTCATTTTCTTAGATTAAGAGTATAACCTTATTATGTGTGCGTGTGACATCTCAAAAAGGAACGGAGGGAGTATTAAACTTGCTCTTACAATTCGAGTCCAAACTTGAAGCCGAGCTTGAGCAGTTTGTGAGCCGAGCTTTTTTTTTTTTTACAGTCCTAATCGGAGCTGCTCTCCAGCTGGGCCCATAATCTGCCTCGCGGTCGGCCTACTTACCCGAGGAATTAATATTGGCCGCACCAAACACGTGCATACCGCTTACGGCCTTGGCCTCCCTCGACTCACCACATCCGTCGGTCGGTCGGGCACCAGACCCCCTTCGTCCGTCGCCTGCCACTGCCGTCGCGCCGATCTCCATCATCGCAAGTAAAGCAGCGGTGCGGGCGTTTTGCCGCTTCCGCCGCATACTCTCGCCTGATTCCTTGCACCCAAGTCAATCTCCCGTAGCGTCGGTCTCAATCTCCTCGCGAGAGTCGCCCGCCGCCTGCGCCTATATCCATCCACCACGTGAGTCGAGCAACGGTGTTGTCGTCCTGCTGCTTCCGCCTATGGTGAGCATCCCCTGCCGACGCACATCCTCTTTCTTTCTCATCCCTCTCCGCTCATATTTTTGCCTTTTATCTTATTATCTCTTTCCTTCTTGATCTATAAGCTAGGTTTTCTCTCTCCCCTTTTCTTTTTCTAACCTTATTAGTACTAATAACTTTCTTTTTTTTTGACGTTAGGTCGGCTCCTGCGAACCATGCCGTCGGCGCCCGACGAAGCCCAAGCGGGTGTCACCACCGGAACCGCCGATCATTCCTCCTGCAGCGGCGGCAAAGAGTTTCGGTTCATCCTGTCACAGGACATCAGCCTGCCGCTGTCGTTCCGCGTCAACCGCTTCGTGCCAGGTTCCACTCTTATTTAGCCTATTTTCTATGCACTCTGTTCGTTGTTAGTGTACTATAAAGCTTCCTGTATAGTTTGAGAAAATTGCAATATTGGGATTGCAAACATGGGGGCTTCACTGTATAGTTTATGTCTGATGTGATGGTTCTATATTTTGGCCTGGTTTAGTTCCCAACTTTTTCATCAAACTTCCAACTTTTCCATCACATCAAAACTTTTCTACACACAAACTTCCAACTTTTCTGTCACATCGTTCTAATTTCAATCAAACTTCTAATTTTGGTGTGAACTAAACACAGCCTTTATCAAAGCATGTGATACATTTAGTTAAACAACGAAAACCTTTTTCCTTTTGCAAGAAAATAAATCTCCATTTGCATTGATGCGCAAATTTCTGTTTTGGTAGTTCCTGATTTGTTCTTGAACTTATTTGAGTTGACCTGCTGTAGTGAACTTATATTGTGTTGCAATTTTATTCGAGAAAAGTTAGATAACTCGAAGCCTATACTTATTATTTCAATTCCAACTTCAACTTGAGTGTTTCAGTTGATAAGCATAATATCTGGTAGAAAGATTATACCAATGTTTTTCTTTACTCCTTTAAACATTCCTTGTGGTGGTTGCGGCGCCACCACCCACTGACATTTGGGCCCCACATAGCTAGTAACAAACAATGTTCTAGTTCATGTTCAACATCTGTCTGGACCTTTTGTTAAACTTTTGGACTGATGGATTTATTCATTATTATTTATCATTTCAAAAGGGATCTCTGCGCTTAAAATTGATTTCATGTTTAATTCATCTGATTTGGTGGTATATTCCACTTAGTAACCCTTCTGTTGTAAACAATGTTTTAAATAGCTAGCACATGCAGCTTTAGGTACACCCTCTATTTAGATACTTTTGATTTTATATAAAACGTGCAGTTAAAGGTCTCTACCTTTTCCTATAATATATATAAGAAATGTTTAGTCTGATCAGTTGAAAAAGTCTCACTAGATTTTTCACAACTCGTAAAAGATGTTCCCATAATATTACAATTTATAGGTATTCACTAACATATTGATGTTCAAGACATCGTAAATTTGTAAATAAAGGGTGTATATGTCAGACTACATTTCTCCCTTTCATTTTCATATTATATTGTATCAAATGCCAATTGTTTCTCTCAAACATATTATAATTGTGATTTTGACTATAGTTTTTTAATTATGTCATGGTATATACTCCCTGCTCCCAAAATAGAGCAACTTTCAGCTATGAATCCGGACAAGTTGTCAAGATTCATAGCTGAAAATTGCTATATTTGGGGATGGAGAATAACTCTATAAACTTACCCATTTTTAGCATTTTTAACTTGGTTGACACTAAACAGTGTTATTAAAATACTTAAAATAAATCTTCACTAGAAAATATCTTTTACCGTAGTTTCTAATGTTGTTATGAAGGCGCAAAAATCATGATTTAGTACCTTGGTTGTAAAGACTATTCGCAGAAGTTATTTGCTAAATACTTGGTACTTATTATAGATCATGGAGATTCACTACGGAAACACCAGTTTAGGGCACTACTGGCACCCTTCCCCCATGACTGTAAACGTGTTTCGCAACAGTTATATCAAATAGTAGATATATAAGATTCAATACTAGAGATAATGAATGAAGTTTTGATATTTTGGTTAGATTAGAAAGAGCTACCATGATTTTGTAAGTACTCATTAATTATAGAACTTGGATTTGTATACTTTTTCCATAGTTTCACTTGGAATGCTTAGTGAACCTTAGTTTCAGTAAATGAAATGATTAAAATCTTCTCTTATAATCTCTAGGGAGTTTATTTTAGTTGACTAGTTGTCGTCATCTTGAGATGCACTAAATCAATTGAGTTTTGCTCATATGGGCTTTACTTTTTATGGTATTTAAGTTCTCTTGGCCCAGGTGATAGCAATTAACTATGTCAGAGTTAGCATGATTACCTTTCAGGATGTTCATGTAATGGAGTTATATATACAATAATGTTTGTTTTATTCATAGATCGCACCCTGTTGATTGAAAGAAGTGCTCCAGTGCTCTTTGTTGAGTGTACACTATACATTGATGGAGTACAGTTTGGATTGTCCACAAATACAAGGTAAACCTAATATGATTATAAGAGAAAAAAGTAATAAATTTAATCTTGAATGATAATTTATTTTGTTACCATGATCATGATCAGTTATATTTACTGGAGTTAATTTGTGTTCTCCTTCAGGTTGAAATCTTTGGGATCACCATACTGCTGGAATGAGCTTGTAACATTAAGTGCCAAATACAGAGACCTAACGCCCTTCTCACATCTTGCATTCACGGTGCGTTTTGTTGACTGGACTATGCAACATAGTCAACTGTCATTTTTTTTTAAAGATGTCTGTGGAGGAAGTGAGTTGCAATGTTAACATTCAACTTAATTCAAGGACTATTCATCCTTATTTTTTTCTGTAAAAAGGCACACCACATTTATTCATTAAATCTTATTTGACTTTGCATGGACCAGGGTACCAGGCTTTAAATTTTGCAATTAAATTAAAACATCTCCACCATCAATCTATTCGTTTGCCATAATCTGAATGGTTCAATGGTTCTGGACAGAAGATGTTAACCTTGATATTCTTTAAAAAAGAGGATAGTAACTTTAGATGCTCTGGGACTTATGACTTAAACTAGCAGCCATGTTTTAGTTGATGCGCATGAAATTTGGATGTACTATGGTAGTAGTAGACATGGTTCAGTTGTGCATGAAGTTTTTATGTACCATGTTTTGGCAGTAATAATGGTTTGAAGCAGTCACTGTTAACTGGACTATGCACTGCATTGTGCATTGTTGTGCTCGTTGGAGTCGAATTAGTTATAGAGAACCTCCACGGGAGAGATTGCTGATTAGTTATTATTTAGTTAATCTAGCAAAAAGGGGGAATCTAGGATTTGCTACTCCAAAAATATTATCTCTAGGATTTACCATTCAATGTTTCAATGACTTGCGGTGTTGGCATGTCAGTGAAACATCAAGTTGTAAAATCCTAAAATACTCTGATTGGAGACTTGGAGTTGCAAATCATAGGATTCCCTAGTTAGGTAGCAAAATAGCAAATTATTTTCTTCAATAAGATTAATCAAGAGATAGGATGCATGGCGTACACAGTACTAAACATCCATTAGTTATTGGAGATCAAGTTTCTTGAAGTATCTGGTAGTATAGGTATCTATTTACTACTCCGTCCGTCCCAAAATACAACAACTTTTAGCACTCAGGATTTGTCTCAAAATATAACAAGTTCTCCACCAACATTCCTTTCCCAACCAATCACAACCCTCCACCATTCACTTTTCCCACCTACTTCCACTTCTTAACCAATCACAACATCTTCCTATTTAATTCTATCTACTTTCTTAATAACCGTGTCCAACTATAAAACTTCTTATATTCTGGATGGAGGTAGTACCTCTGTCCCAAAATATTTACCTTTCTAGTTCAAATTTGTACTAGAAATGTTGCTATACTTTGGGATGGAGTACTTGCAAACATTAAATTAAAGTGCAGGCCCTCAAATAATCAGATCTCTGAGGGTGTCATAATCTATCACTTAGGTCCTTAAAGAGTTAGAGGTCACAGCTTCAAGGCCCTTTTTCCTTTCATTTACAAAAGAAAAAATAAGTCCATTTTACTCCCCTGAACTATTTCATTTGTTCACTTAACGCCCCAAAACTGTTTTTTGGCTCATGTTACACCCTAAACCTTAATTAACCCTAATGGATCACCTCATTCCCTAAAGGTGTTTCTATTTTTTTGTTTCTATACAAGTTGTATTTTGCAACGAAATTTGGTAGGATTGATATATGCATTATAACTTACCTCTCAGCAGTTTTTCAGAATTTTTTATCACTGTTTACATAGATTGGAAGCACTGTGATTGATTTAAACATCGAGGTTTTAAATTTCAAGCAAATAGTCATGAAAAATTTTGAAAATATTTTATAACTTTGATAATGGTGTCATCTATGGCTCTACAAAATTTCAGCTTAGGGGGTAAAATGAGCCAATATATAACTTTTATAACTTTGATAGAGAAATGATATTAAGTTGTAAAGTGAACCATTTTAACAGATTAGGGGGTAAAATGAGCCAATATATAAATATATATTATCTATCTATATCTATCTATCTATCTATCTAGATCTTAGGATGGGATTGCTGTGGTACGCATGTAGTATTCTGATTTAAGCCAAATGCTCAATACACACATCTAAGCAGCAACTATGAAACACAAAGAATTTAATATCAAATGACGTTGCAAACCTTGAAAGATAGAGAGAACTACGTAAACAACTATTCCAGCTTATGCTTTGTGACTTGAAAGCTAAATGATTGGCTGAATGACATAAATGATGAATAGAAACAGAACAGTCTTACAACTCACAAGTTTAGTGACCTACAACAAAATTTACTTTTGAAAAGAAAATCAACTATGCGGACAAACAAAAAGGCAAGCTGTAAGAAAGCCTTTAGATTAAATGATAATCTATGACATGACACCAATTATTTTTAGTGGGTAGAAAATATGCTGAGTTGCCAGTTTATCTACTATGGGGTTATTAGAGGTTTCCTCATGTGGAGCATTAAATCATACACATATCCAGATTCCCTGGATATAGTCTATAAAAGATGACCATGTTAATATCAATTTCTACTACTCAAAAAAGGAGATAAGTTAGTGAAGGAGATAAGTTAGTGATGATCTATCCCTTCACTTCAAAAGATCATTCTCTTCACATGTGTTCTTGTAAATGAAATTGCCTGTTGATCTGATGTGAATTATCTATGCAATTCATAAACTTGAGGACGATTAAAATTTGTTGTCGCATTTTTTAAGCTTAGACATTGTTGGTTCTGAATTTGTTTTGCTGTGTTAGATTGTCAGGTTTATGCCATGTTCTTCTGCCATTTTTCTTAGTTTATTGATTTATTAGCCCAAATGGAGGGGTATACAACTTTTTTGGAGACCTGCAAAACGTGTAAAGTGAAGCTCAGCTATGTGAACCTATCCGACAACCTGTATTGAGGAAAGGCGATGAATTCACATATAAAGCATAGACACATGCCTGGATTAACAACTATGGTGGCTCTCCATGAGGGAGGGCCTCAGGGCCAGATGACCACAACTTAAACATATAAAGACAGGGACTCTTTTTTCTAGTTCTCCGTTAGTTGACTCAACTCCTATGAATTGCACTCATGGCATCTGGCTGGCTTATGGCTGGACTCTACCTTATTATTTCCTTATAAGTGCACACCAACTAGTGCAATGTGGAAGTTACTGGATCGAGTTTGAAATTCAATTAACCATGCAACGGTGATTAACACTCAATTTTTTGCTATGTCCAATGTACACTGATGTATTTAAATAGAGTATTATATCATCGGATTTTCTTTATTTTTGAACAGTTCAACCATTTTGCCTCGGCCTCATACATTATAGTGTTTTGTTTTTGGGTAATATAGGTGTGGGATATGTCATCTGGTGAAGACAACATCTATATTGTTGGTGGAACCACTATATCTCTTTTCAATAGCAAAAACCAACTTAAAACTGGGAGGCTGAGGCTGAGAGTATGGCCCAATAAAATGGCAGATGGAAGTCTCTCCACCTCTACCCCTGGCAAGGTATATAACAAGCTTTATTGTCTCTATATATAGATTTCAGAATGACAAATGTTTAACTCTGTTTACTAATGTTGGCATCAGGTTATTTTATTTATCATGCACTTAACACTTTTTTATCAACTTAAAGGTTCCCAAGACCAAGAGGGAAGAAATAGAGAGGTTGGAAAGGGTTGCTAACAAGTACATCAGAGGGCAGATACCACATATAGGTTGGCTAGACAATCTCATTGCAAATGCTGCTGATAAACTTGAGAAAGAGAGTGAGAGAACTGAAAATTTGCATTCTAGCCTTATTGTTGAACTATGCAGCTTTGAACACAGAGTTGTCTTTCAGGTTGCACTATTTGACTATTCAGTTCTTTTTTGTTCCAAATTTCATGGAGGTTTGCTTTAATAAATAATATTCTTGTCTGTTATATTTTAACATTATAGTTAAATATGCATAGCGCATTGGATAGCACACATATTTTGACGGAATAAATTTTCATTGGTATTATTTGGGCTGAAGAATGCTGTATTACAAGGTTTTTTTTTTTTTTTTTTTTTTTTGCACTCAAGGATGCATTATGTTTGGTTTACTTTTCAACCTTGCTCTATTGCTCGTCCTGGATTTTGTTATTGAGCTAGTGCCTTTATTGTTCAAAACTATTGTCACTATATTAATAATTCTCTTGCTATTCTCGATTCTTGTGTAGAGCCAGGATGTTTTTCTTTATCTTGCATGTCATCATGTCATAAAATTTTCTAGAGTATTTTACTGTCTTACTATTATTCTTTCATGCAGGAATATGGAGCAAAGTTGCATACATCAGTCCCTTCATCCTTAGTGGATATATCTAAGAATAAACTTGTTATTGCATGTGATCCTGAGATTGGGCGAATCAATCCATCTGAGCATAAACACTCTGTGCTTGCTTGGAGCTTGGCTCGTGGAGTAAATGATAGAGAGATGAAGCCAAGCTCAGTTGACCAAAAGTGAGCTTGAATTGCATTCATATCTGAGCAAATGTCATAAAACTATGTTTCATTGTAAAAAATATCAAAGAACCACACTTCTAAAAAATAGTGTCACAAAAGTAAACTTTAAATTAAAACTGGTTCAGTAGTGGCGGAGCCTAGATTTCACCAATGGGGGCATTGACTTAAGTGATAAAATTATCTACAATTCAAAAAATTTGGTCCAACAAATTACTGAAATGGTTTAACGAAAGAGAGTTATGAGTTCAAATGGAACAAGTTACATGTTCTGGTAAATGGCCGTTTACAATTCCTTTTTGCTGAATTGTTTCACTCCTTCCTTTTTAGGTTAATACAAAACATCCTCAAGTATCCACCCACACGCACTTTAAATGTGGATGAAAAGCAATTGTTGTGGAAATTTCGTTTCTATTTGACATCTGAGAAGAAAGCTCTTGTAAAGTTCCTCCTCTCTGTGGAATGGAGTGACATCCAGGTTAGTAAAAGCATCCACATGATTGAAGATTGCTTTTATTTTACATTTGTAATTTTTCATACACATAGCAGGAAATGAACAAGTTTTTTTTTATTATGATAAATTTATTTACCTGGATGGTGCATTCTTTCTTGTAGCAAGAAAGATATCCATTCCACCCCACCTGTTCCACAATACACATTTTTCATATTATGGCTACGATGCCTGTAATGATCACTATGCATTTAACTGCTCTGAAATCATTTGCGCTTCAAATTTACTACCTCTGTCCCAAAAGGGGTGCAATTCTAGGTGCATAGCCAGAATCACATTCTTTTTGGGACAGAGGTAGTATTAATTTAGGAGCTGACAGGGGTCATATACGTCCATGTTTGTTTTAAAGATCAGTCAGTGTTTTGCTATTTGCATTTAACTATTGTAGCATTCTCTTATAACTATTCCATGAGAACCAGTATTTTGTTTAACCTGTAATGATGCTTGCTCATTCAGTTCATGGTTATAGAGATATATCGTTGTGCAAACACAAATTTCAGTACTATAGTCACAGCTACAGTAAGAGTTCCTATGTGTTTAAAACTTGGCGTGCAGACTGGATTTCTGTTACTAGTATGTGAAACTGAGATATCTTCCTATTACTTGCAGGAAGCCAAACAAGCTGTTGCGTTGATTCCAAGGTGGGAATCTATTGATGTGGCTGATGCATTGGGGCTTCTTTCACCAGTTTTTCAAAATGAGGAAGTAAATGGTTTTTTTCTCAATTTGTTACTTCCTTTGTTTTCTTATATGCCTATGTGATGTGAAGGTTGAAAACACTAGCTGATTTGTACATATATTTTTGTTTTTATGTCTGTTATGTAAAGTGGATTTTATGAATTGGTGGTTGATCATAACTTTATTGACATATATATCCTCTGTACTGATATTCCACTTTTTCTTCTGAAAGTTCACTCATGCCATCATGCAATGGGCTAACGTATCTATCTTAGCAGTGTGGCACGCCCATTTTTTTGCTTTTTGCATGCGGTAACCTTCCTGATAATGCGGTTGCTTCAAAATGTTGTGTTGATGACATAACTACCACTTCTGTGCAAAGGTTCGTGCTTATGCTGTCGGCGTGTTTGAAAGGGCCAGCGACGAAGAACTGCAATGCTATTTGCTGCAACTTGTACAAGGCCTGCGGTTTGAAAGATCTGACAGATCTCGTCTAGCACACTTCCTTGTGAATCGGGGTATGTTCTTTATTCTTGTTATTTAAATCCTTTTGTGGTCATTTGAATGATAATTGAGGACAAACTTACATAGAATATTCCTATGTAAGTTTGTGAAAGTTTGATTTTAGTTATTTATTTTGCGAAATGTCAGATATACCTTACCTTGTTTTGCTAAGAACTGAATTTTAGAGAACCTCCTTTGAATTTCCTGAAAAACAGTTGGGGATGTTTCTTCATAGTAAAAACTATATTATGTTATGCTGGTTTTGTGCTAGCCAACATGATTCGCTATTTAGGTTTGGGCATAACAAAGTTGTATGCTAATTTAGGTGGTTAGACTTCATCAGTCATCACTACTTCATTACAATCTGCTTTTTATGTGAACTTAAGATTCAAGCAAGTGCACTTCCAGATTTGTCACCATGAAGTTGGACAAAAGTACACTTCTAGGCAACTAAGCTCCCCGGGTAGTCTAGTGTGTATGGGTCTCGGTACGAGGGCTCGGGCACTCCTACTTTGTTTTTTCTTTGTGTTGTGTTTTTGTATTGTTTTTTCTTCCCCTTAATGAAATGAAATGCAGCTCTCCTGCGTTTTTGAGAAAAAAAAAATGTTGGACAAAAATAAAACTTTAAAATAGGTCCTGCGTTTGTGATAGGTGCAGTCATAATATTATTTTGCATGGTTGGATGCCCTATGGACATTTCCGTAAAAAGAAGAGAGAGTTCGTAGAAGTTGTAAAAAGGGCTACATGTTGGTGTAACTTGATCATAATGTGCTGCTCTAGTCCTTTATCTTGTTTGGCTTGTTACGGCATATTGTTTACTCCAATCAGCATTAAAAGGCATAATCTGATTTGAAAAGTTCAAAAACTTATAGATTTTGACTAATATTATTCAAATTATACATTTTGCACAACATTTATACTAACAGATTCAAATATATTTCAAAATTCTTTCAATTTTTCATTTATTTTTGTAACTCAGACATCAATGGTCAAAGTTGACTGTCAAATTATGATATGCCTTATAAAAGTGAATGGATTGATTTCTATATAATTTCTAGGTATGGCATTGCTTGCTGAAACAAGTGATACTAGAGCATATGCATGTGCATTTACGTGTAAAATGTTTTAAGCGTCTCCAGATGACCCAGAACTAGCAAAACCTTTTACATCTAGAAATTATGTTACTAGCAGAGAATTTTGCCACCTTGTTATCTGATAGTTTGATGGGCTATGTACCTTTATTTTCTATCATCATGTTGTGTCCATAATTAACTGCAGGTGAAATATGTTCTTCAAAAGACTAAAATCAATACTAATATCACTTTTTTTTCTGTTTTCAGCTTTGTCAAATTACGAACTTGCTAGCTTTCTTCGCTGGTATTTAGTTGTTGAGCTTCATGATCCTTCTCATGCAAGAAGGTATCTATGTACATATGAGATGCTTGAAGATGCTATAATGAGAGTATGCTTCTCTTTCCCTTTTGGGTTTTGAACACAGTCTCTTCACTCTGCACAATTCTCGGGCATGAACTGGGTTTCTAATAATCTATATTTATGTTCTGAATAGTCAGTACATAAGGAGGAAAATGGATTTCAAGTGTGGCAGAGTTTGATAGAGCAGGCAGAACTCACTGCTCAGTTACGTTCTATAATGAAGGAACTATCAAATGTCAAACATGACGCACAAACTAAAGGCAGGATATTAGAACAGTTATTCTCCGGAATTTTCAGTGAGCTTAAAAACTTCAGTGAGGTGAGATTCTTCTCCTAACTTAGGTTATTCTATTGTTTGCTATGCAAAGCAATGAGCCAATGACATGATCACTTAATCAAGATGCTATTTGTAGCAATTCTAGACCTAGTACCAGATTATGTTGTTATCCATTTAACTGATGTTCTATTAAATTTCTTTCAGCCAATTCCATCTCCATTAACACCGACTGTCCTCCTTGACGGAATTGTGCCTGAAGAGTCATTGGTATTCAAAAGTGCTAATTATCCATTGTGTATAGCATTTAGTACTGTGAATGGGGGTACATCGAAAATGATTTTCAAGAAGGGAGATAATCTCCGCAAGGATCAGTTGGTAACTAGATTCAATTGTACTTTAACATTTCTATGGAAAATACAATTTTAAGTTTTATAGAACAAATTCTTATCTGTATGCTTTGTAGGTTATTCAAATAATCTCTTTGATGGATCGGTTGCTCAAGTCAGATAATCTAGACTTACACCTTACTCCTTATCAAGTTCTTGCGACTGGTCTAGAAGAAGGGTTGGTTGAGTTTATTCCTTCAATTTCTGTTGCAAAGGTAACCCTATTATTCAGCAATTCATGATAATATCTCTACAAAATCTAGCTTCTTCATAAGTAGCCTCATCTTTACAAATCACTGTAATTACAGAGCATGCATAGCTTTGAAGCTTAAATTTTCCATCTTCAACACTATGTCCTGCATCTCCTTTCACTCTATAATGTGACAATGAACCACACTGCAGTCCCTCAAATCCAGTATATGTTAAAATACTAATCCCTTGCAGAAGACCACATGTTCTGTTACTGTAACTTCTTTCAAACTGTATCCAACAAGTCATTGATATTTTAGGACAGGTAAGGAAGATTGAAGTGCTGGCTTATTAACAATTTGCAAAAGTTGGGATCACAAACACTAACAGTGCCTGGGTTAAATGTTAATTGAATCATTTCTCTTATAGGATAAAGTCCATTTAGACACTCTATTGTTCAGTTCTAGAAATCATCCTCCATCTGTGGAACCAGATGGAGTGCCAGCTGATTGGATAGTGGCCTTCCCATTATCCTGTTAATATTTACTACATAGATATGAATTGAATTTAATCATTAAGAATACATAAATATGAGTGGAATAGCTACTCAATTTCATCAAATTCGAACAGATACAACTTAAACAAAGTCCTCTTTCAGATATGTGCATTTAATTTAATTTGAATTCGTGTAATATAATGTTTCAGATGAAAAACCTAAAACATGCTCAAATCCATACCTTTAGTTGAATTTGAAATGGGGAAACTGTTAATCTGATGGGGAAAAAATCTAATTCAGATTCATGTCCTATCAAATACAGTAGTCAAAACTTTCCATTTTGACACCTGTACATGTAGGTACTTGATCCCTTCCAACAGTGGGTATATCGCTAATCTCATGCCCATTCAATACCGGGTTTTAACTGATGCAACACATATGTCAAATGTTTTCAATATGTGGAATTAGGCTCGCCTGTCTCCCTTCACCTCTTCTGTCCTTCCTCCCCTAAGATTTCATCATCCCCATGGCATGCTTAGATGGTAGGTCGGCAACTATCTCCCTTGCTCATTGCACCCAAGCATCAGGGTCACACACAAGGCGCATGGCACACTGACGCGTGCAGCCTCTGCTTCTTTTGTATTATTTCTTGGTGTAGTTGAATTTATAGATCCCATGTAAACTAGTATGTGGCTTCTAGATGTCATAGGAAAATCCTTTTTATAACAAATAGTATTATTAGTTTCTAGTTGATGACTGCTGCTCAGAAGTAAGGCTTGTAAGTTCTAGGCCAGTAATGGCAACACGGTGGAGCAGAGCATTCACGTGCTTATAGGCTGTCTTGGCCTAGGAAACAAGGTTCTATTAGGCTTGCAGGGCTGCTGCTCTTTGAAAGTGGCATGCTTGACCAGGTGGTAATGCATTACAGAGGAACTGGCAAGCTTGGTACAGCACTTGAGAGAAGAGGAGAGGAGGAAGAAGGCACATGAAGAGGAAGATTAGATGCTCATATATATGGGTCCCACCATTCTTAGTTTTATCCGTTGATTATGATGGATTCTGTGTTATCCAAGAACCACCTAGGGTTAATGTTACTTGTAGATTAACTGGGAGGAGGGGTGGGGATGACTTTATAACCCTCTTTTACACTGAAGTCCTTCTGAATATTTATCAATACAGGGCAGCAAACACACACCACACTCACACCACCTCATGGGCACAGATGTGTGTATCCTCTACACACTAGTGTTTCCGGGACACATGTGTCTAAAGCTTATCTAGCATGTCGAGTTATCGACTCATGCTTATGCAGGGACATCTGACAGCTCTAGCAGTGTCCGAGCTGGAGGAAGGGATGCGAGAGAGAGACAGGCTGCAAATCTTCCTCCTGGAAAATATCATAGACACCCAATGCCTCAAAGGAACATGGCCATGCGGCATGCGCATACCCATTAAACAGACTCATGTCCTAAAATTTGGATGGGCATACTGTCTAGGACTTGAACCTTGATGGGCTAAGTGCACATCTGCGCTCCAAGCCATCGGGTCTTCTGGCACAGCCAACTTCCACCGCTTTGAATTTTTGAAGTCACATGGTTTTGCCTTAGTAACAATAGCAGTGTGAATTTTCATGAATGTTTTCTTTTATGAACTACTATTATTGTTTTTCCTATCAGAACTTTCCCAGAATGTTTATTAAAATTGTCAACTACAATTTTTTTTGCTGCTAATTTTTATTTGTATGAACTGTCAATCATTAACGTTTGCCTCTTATTATCTTTTTTACTTAAGTTGAAGCATATCCAGCAAGGTATCTATTGTTAATAACAAATTACTGTTTATTTGCAGATTATACAAAAAACGGGCAGTATAGAAAGTTACCTACAAAAGTGTAATCCGGATGAAGATGGCCCTTTTGGTATAACTGCCCAATGTTTGGAAACTTTTATAAAAAGTTGTGCTGGCTACAGTGTCATTACATACATACTGGGGATTGGAGACAGGTTAGCATTTTTGCTACCTAGTATAGTTAAGTTGCATACATCTAGGTGTTTTAAGCTTGTGCTCTAAGCATATCACACAATGCGGCATCTTTTTAGTTGCAAACATTTCTGAAGCAAGCTTCCTCTGAATTGTATTCTCCTTGATGACATTTGGTTCGTTGGCACTGGATGGCTATTGTGCATTTGTGCCTTTTGTTTTATCCTATTTTTTCATCCTTTTTGTAAGGACAGATGTAGTTTTTATAGGTGTTGTTATGCGTGTTTTGCATTTGATCGTTAGTCTTTTGTCCTCAGAAATGCAGTCAATGCACGCGGGTCTTATTCCTAACACTGGTATCAGAGGCAAGGCACTCTCTCCTGGTGTTATGTGCCATTTTCTCCCCCAAAGCTCTCACACAAACTCAATTACTCAGTTATAGAGCCATCAATCACCAGGCAGTGGTGGCCGGTCGGCAAACTTTGTCTCGACAAAGTTAACCTGGGGTGATGGCGGAATGGTAGGTGGTGCCGGCGGCATCCGGGGTACACGAATCTGGCCTAATGGCTAGATCCAATGCTTTCTGGTTGATAAAAGGTGGCTGTGGTTAAAAGGGAAGACGCCGTTGGGGACCGAGGTGGCTGGATCGGGCTTAATGGTTAGATCCGCTGTACTTCTGGAATGCATTTTGGTTCGAATATGGCCCTTTTGGTTCGAAGAAAGCTATGAGTGCCATGGACAGGACAACGACAAGCTGGTTGGCAATGCTGGTACAGATGGGGCGCGGCGCTCAATCTGGGGCCTAAATGCTGCTGGATCTGAGGTGGCCGTGCCCGAATCTCACTTGCAGGGGTCTCTTCTCTGCCTCCTCTGGATGCCGTCGGCGAGCAAATGCACTATTGATGAATCTGGATCGATTGGATCCAGCTGAGGTTGGGGCAGGGTGGCATAGGACCCGGTGAAAGGTGGATGGAACGTGGATGTGGGCTGCACAAGTTCGAACTGCATATCTAGATCGTCTCAGTGCAGTTTTTGGTGTGGCAGGGTTCGTTAGGCAGCAAAAGATGGAAGCTAGTCATAACAATGTTTTCATTTTGTGTTTTTGTTTTTCAGTTATGAGACTTAGAATCTAAATTCCTATAACCTTTGGTTCTGTATATCCACTCGTAGATATAAAAGGCTAGATTTCTATCCATTATATCTAAAAAAAATAAATCACCTTCACTTCACATCTTGTAGTTCAGTCCTGTCTGGTCTTATATGGCAACTGGAGTATACAAACAACAAAACATCAAAGCAACATGCAGTTTTTCCATTTTTTTGGAGGTCAAGCATTATGCAGTTTGTAAGCAATAAATAACAACTGCTTTTCTAATCTAGGCATCTTGACAACCTTCTCCTACAAGACGATGGAAGACTTTTCCATGTTGACTTCTCGTATATGCTTGGGGAACAACCACATCGATTTGCACCACCATCACCACCGATGAAATTATGCAAAGAAATGGTTGAGGCCATGGGTGGTACTGAAAGGTAAATGCTTTATTTAGTTATGTATATATAGTTTTGCACCTTTGCTCATTTCACAGATATTTATTCTTTGCATGTGACTTCCATTTTAGTGAATACTATGCAAGATTCAAGTCCTACTGTTGCGAGGCATACAACATATTACGAAAGTCCAGCAACCTCATACTGAATCTTTTTTATCTGATGACTGGATCAAATATTGAGAGTATCACAGACAAAGGGACTTCTAAGGTAAGTAGCTGTTAAAGTGTTTAAGGGATAAGTCCATTTTACATCCCCTAGCTCTTTTTTTTTTGTCTAGAATCCACCCCTTGACTCTTAAACCAGACACTCAACACCCTCAACTATCAAAACTGTTCAACTTACACCCGAGTCAAAATCAAGCGGTTTTCTCCTACGTGTCAATCGACATGGCAATTTAGTCAGGAAAAGTATAAAAAGAAAATACAGGGCCCAACTGTCAGTTAGGAGGCATTCTTCTCCTCTCTCTCTGATCTCTCCTCTCCCCTAGTTCCCTATGTCGACGCACCCAAGACAATCAATGGCATCGAAGCCTCCTGAGTGGGATCTGCAAGCTCAAGCTCGGGGGGTGACAGGGGAAGTGGAACTTTACCTCGCCGGCGCATCTAGGAGACACTCAGTGAGGAGAGGGGGCACCTGAGCTCGTCGGCACATTGGGGAGTAGGCTAAGAAGCTGGCCTAACGCCCTGTACATGGAGCATGTGCTCAGGGTGGCGAGGAGGCAGAGCTTGAGCTTGACCACGTTAGCACATGGAGGAGGTGCTTGGGGGGCATGGCGGGAGCTGGAGCGGGAGCTTGAACTTGCAGCAGTTGGGGAGACGACGGGGGTCCAGGGGGGAGGGGGGAAGGGAGGGCTCGAGTTCACTGACGCCTGGAGAAGGAGGCACTCTGGGATGTGGCGGGAAGCCAAAGCTCGACCTCGTCGGCGCATGGAGTGGGGCAGGCTCAGGGACATGTATGTGGCGGGAAGCCGAAGGTCCAGCTCGCCAATGCATGGAGAAGGAGGCACTTGGGGAGACGGAGTTCAACCTCACCGGTCGGGAGGCGGAGGTGGTCGTTGCCTCGTTGGCAGGGGCGATGGAGCCCATTGACAGAGGCGGATTGAGGAAATCTCAAGAAGATGGAGAATGAAGGTGAGAGTAGAGGAAGAGGGTCTCAAACTTTTAATGACATGTGGGGCCATTATTCTTTTTAATAATTTTGCTAACCCAGATTGGTATGTTGATACCACATAAGCAGGAAAATCACCCTGGTTTTGTCTAGGGGTGTAAATTGAATGGTTTTGATAGTTGGGGTTGTTGGATGCCCGGTGTTTAAGTTAAGGTGTGAATTTTAGACGACAGGAAGAGTTAAGGGGTGTAAAATGGACTTACCCTAAAGTTAAACACCTACAGAATAAGTGACATCGTCTTTCCATTTTTTCTGTGGACATTAATCAGCTACAGCAAAATTTCCGGTTGGATCTAGACGACGAGGATGCTATACATTTTCTCCAGGGTCTTATCAACGAAAGTATCAGTGCTTTCTTCCCTCAAGTGGTTGAGACCATCCATCAATGGGCACAGTCTAGGCGTTAAAAACATTTATAATATTTGGTCAAGACATTTATAATATTTGGTCTGTACATGTCAGTTTTGAAGTTCTTTTCTGTTACGGTGACATCATATTTTCTTCGATAACTACAAGGCTCTTAACTGCATTCTACAACATAATGTGTATTTTATGGTGATGCAACAGATCTTCTGTTATCATCAGTTACAAAGGAAACTGCCATCTCTGGATGCTGGTCTTATTCATATATCTACCAAAAGCACTACACATGTTGCCATGTAGTTGGAAGAGAACTTCAACCCGTGGGATCAATATTTAGGGTATAATGTCACTCATCCGCAATGTTGGATTTGGAGTGCCCTGGAGAACAGAGTAAAAAGAGAAGGATGCTGCTATATGTTCATTAGTAGACGATTCTTATAACTAGCTTCTGATTAGCAGTCAGTTTTGTACAGTACCATCTATACTAGAATGTCTATAGTTATATGAAGTTACTTACTAAACCGATAGCATATTGTCTTGTGTATAACTACTGTCCAAAGGAAAATTTCAAATTTACTTAACTATTGCCTTTTTCTATTCACTCTGCCTATACAATAGTACTGGACACTTTCAACCTAAGGGCGCTTTTACTGTACCTCCCACTGCTAGTGGTAATAGTGTAGTAGAACTATAGAAGTTTCATCTAACCGTTGATTACGATAGGTATTTTAGAATTTAATGTAATGCATTTTTATTATTAGATCTGGTTAATTCGTGCAGAACATATCACTCGTCTCTCTAGGCTATGAATCATCGCTCGATACCCATGACCCATCTCGTTGGCACCGCTGGCCAGCTCGCCGTTGCGTTGATCTCCTCGCCGCCGCTAATTTCCATCCTGACCATGTATGCAAACGTGAGTCCATGGAATAATTGGAACATGGTATTCTCTTCAACTAAGCCACACATAATCCAACGATTAGCCAAGAAATTTGGATCTGTACGTGCGCATGGATTACGGATCAATTAATTAGGACTTGGCCCATCTACAGCCTGAGAAGGCCATGAAACGACAGAAAAAATAGGAGATTATGAATTTTAAAAATACATATTTTCCAAATTTGCCCCTTTACAATTTCTACTGTCAAAATTATTGGGTGTAATAGAAATGAATATGATCCATTGGATCAAACTAGATGAATGGCTCGTATTCATTGGAGGATACTCTAAAAAAATCCGTGATTCGATGGATGCGAGCATATGGTGTGCACTGTGCAGTTGTGCAGGTATTTACTCTTCTCTTCGATTTGGTTTTCACTACTCATATCTCTGTATGTTAATCTCCAAACTTTTCTGATGCAATTTGGAATGGAAAATTTTACCGCTTATCTAAGCCCATTTCACCTTTTTTAGGATAAATTTTCTGAATGAACCTTTCTAGAATAAAATTTCTTGAATTGATTTGAGTAACCTGATAATCCGTTTTAATTTGACCAAAGACTGCACCACGGCTGTGCATAGGTGCACAACTGAATTTATTTTTTGGTTTCTAATAGACAACATTTGAATTTGCAGTATCTGCATTATAAAGCGATCAGCTATGTTTCAGAACTGGTATTAGGACTTCTTCGACCTTACTGGACTCTAAGGTGCTTTGGATTAATCGCCACTTCATTTAGTGGATCATTCCATCCCTGATTTTTAGACACTACTGGACTACTATCTTGCTAAATGTTTTGGAATTATGCTAATCATTTCATCCTGTCTCATGAATAAATGGTTGCATCGATATACCGGGTCGTGCTTCAAAACCCACCTCAGAATTGGACACTGGTTATGGCGTGCTAAGCTCTGCATATGGAAAATTTTACATCTCTGTTTGTGCAGAGAACAGGAGATATTGGATTTTGGGCTGACGATATCACTTCGTTGCCCAGGCCACACTGTTCTCTCCTCAATTATTCTACCATTTATTCCTTCGTATTTTGTTAGGTTATCTAGCAGTGAAAATTTGTGGCCTTTTATAATTTTCTCAAATTGTCGGAAGGTGAACTCCTCACGCGGGGGACAGTGAAGCCCCCCTTTTAGTTCGGCCAGGGGAAGAGGGTGAGATTCGTGGGCTTGGTGAGCGAAGCTATGTGACGTAGAGGAGGTCAGGCTCCTCGAGGACGATGAGACAAAAAGGGTTTATACAGGTTCGGGCCGCTGAGAAGCGTAATACCCTACTCCTGTGCTATGCTGATTGAGAGAGAGATTACAAGATCTCCTTGTTGGAGTAGAAGGTGTTGATGATGAGGGGCAGGAGACTGCTCTAATGAAAAGGGCTCATCTTCTCCCTAAGTAGGCATGGACCTCCTTTTATATCTCAAGGGGTTACAACATGGGCCCATCGAGCCTATTCAGGGAGGATAATCACATTAAATGCATGTCTCGTTGCTTGCCTTGGAAGTCTCTTGTACGCCCTGCTGCGGCGTGGGGTCCGCCTAATCTATCCGGCTGACACGGGGGACACACCCGTCATTTGACATTTAATGAGTGAGGATTTTTGGGCCCTCACTTGCGCCGGGAAACGGAAACCCCGCCCTGACTGGGTTAGGCAAACCGTCTCCGGCTGTGATGAGAGGCTAAGCAGCCTTTCATCATCACGACGTGACGGGGGCGTTAGGCGGCACGCCATCTGACATAGAGCCAGTGAGCAGACGCACTAACCCTGCCACATCAATCATTCGACCGGTCACAGACCGGTCATAGACCAGTCAGACGCGCACCACATTTAATGCAGCGTGGTGCGCTCGCTCAGACCACCTTAAATGCGGTTAGGTGGCGCTGGGAGCGCCTATCTAATGCGGCACACGCGGCACCGCGTGGAGGGGGACGGGGAAGCCCGACCCCCGGGCATGTAGGGGGCGCCGTCACCCTACCTCAGGCCTGACCCCCCTCGGGGGGAAGGCCACGTGGCAACCAGGGGCAGCCTCCTCCCTATGGTGCTGATAGCCCCGGACCCATATCACCGACACAAATGGTAGTATTCTGATTCTCTATTGTTTCAGTCGCAATAATCGATCTAGGTTTGGCAAAGTTCCATTTTCTTCTATTTGCTGGTGAAAAAATGATCTTATTTAGTGAAAAAATGATGTTGCCATGCAGGCATGCACCTCCTGCAAAATAAATCAGGGTAGAAATGCAGTATATATAAATAAGTGTATGTTTCCCATATTCCAATCTTTGTGACCTAGATAACGGTGAAGTGTGCCTATCCAATTGAATCAGCATAAAATGTGTTTATGTTTTATGTGTGATGGTTGAGAGAAACTCAGTCTTTAATTTCTCCATCCGACTTATTGATATGAAGTACATGTCTAACAAGCATGTCTACAAGAACCTTTACAGGCCATGAATTGAAACACCAAAACAGTTGACATAGCGAGGTGTTTATGTGCTAATAGAATTTCTTCTTACCGATTTATGTGTTGTTATTGCAGATTGTCCCTCTACTCAAGCACATGCTGAAAAATCTAATTCAAAGTAAGAATTCGTTTAATCTCCATGGACTCATTTCCGTGGAATTAGTTATTGGCTAGGAGGAATTGGATAGTAGTTTGAGATGTTTATGAAAAATGAATCGATTTATCATCTTTTCCTGGATTGCCATTTCGCTAGATTTCTTTGGAGATCTATATAGTTCTCGTTTATATTATACCCTCCACATAGTATATCTCATATGTTTGGGAATTGGCTTGTGGGTGTTAATAAAAAAAATCAAGGAACTTATACTTGATGGAGCTTCCGTTATTTATTGGGCTCTCTAGCTTAGTAAAACGAAATGGTTTTTTTGATAGATCACCTTCAAAATCTTATTTGCAGGATTTTTTCAGGGTAATATATTGGCCCAACTACAAAGGCATGATGATCTTATCAAGCTAATAAAAGATGTGTGTCGTAAACTTAAGTCGACGATCATACAGCTCTTTGCCAGTTTCGCGTGAAGATTCACCAATAGAATTCAGTAGTTGTGGAGTCTTTACCTTGTTTGGTTTTAATTAGTTTGTTTCTACTTTTGGTTTCGTTACTTTTGCTACATACTCACTTTGTGAGTTTGCTTTTGTGTGAACTTTGTAATAATTGGCTATAACTTTTTAGCAAAAGCAGGGATGTTTCATTACATTATCTGAAACAAAAGCTATTGTTAGTGCTAACTTCCATAGAGACCAGCAACTCTTTTAGCTAAATGTTTTGTAATTTATGTAAATTCTTACTTTTAAACGGACTCTGTTGATTGATGATAATCAAAGGGGTGTTGACTATGAAGATTGATCCTAGGAGAAATGGAAAGGAATATTTTTGCCTTATGCGTGCTCTTAGAGTATTCTCCCTCCGTTTTTTAATAGATAACGCCGTTGACTTTTTCTCACATGTTTGACCATTCGTCTTATTCATCAAAAATTTTATGCAAATGTATAAGATATAAATCACACTTAAAAAGTACTAAGAGTGATAAAACAACTCATAACAAAATAAATTATAATTACGTAAATTTTTTAAATAAGACGAATAATCAAACATGTGAGAAAAAGTCAATAGCGTCATCTATTAAAAAAAAGAGAGAAAAAGTCAATAGTTCATCTATTAAAAAAAAGTATATGTCAATGCGTGATTTTTTATGTGGGTACTTTTGTTGGTTTAGCTACATTGACTATGTGCTTGGATCCCTTCAATTATGCACATAGTGCTCACTGATGTGCTAGTTCGGATGCCATGATATTGTTGCATATGTTCTTCCTATCTACTTATATTACAGTGCCAAGAAAGTTGGTCATCAAAAAATTTCAAGTGGATGGAAGAAACCAATGTTTCTCTCCGTGGTTGAAAGGAGGATCAAGATCGATTGCAACGCGGCGCCTTCCAGCTGAGCTCAGAAAACACAATAGATTCCCATTGCCTCCATGATTATTTTGTATGTGTTAGTCCACATGGAGGTAATGAGAATTGTAGAGAATTTCTTGCACTTCTCATAAAACACAACCATATTGCCCATAACAGATATCTCCTGGGAACCACAGCATGGAACATGTGACTTACAGAAGCTGATAATCTGGCAATGAGAGTGACCTTTGTCCAGCAGCATAACCGGACGTATTCGATTGCAGCTAAAACGTCTGAGTCACAAGACATTCCATGCAGCTTTGGATGGTATGAGCCTTGTCCATCCATCAGCCTGAAACATCAATTCTTACATGGTGAGCTTGCAAAGAACATATACCATTTCGGAGGTCGAAAAGCCGACTCTACACAGCAAAGCCAGAAAGCGGTGCTCGAAGAACTCAAGGACTTCTTCATCCATCAGGATAGTCTGGGTCAATGACGAGGGTTTATACTACAATGGGTTTAGTTTGGATGATCTTTGTTGGGAGGAATAGGCAAAAAAAAAAAAGCACGGAAGAAGAGCTACACTACTACTCGCTTGAATGGGCAGATGCGGGATAAGCCATTGAAGCATCTGTTGAGCCAGAATCGATTCGGGGTGCACGGAGAACTCAAGTTCCAGCACCGTAACAGGAGGCCTGACTGTTACTCTCAGTCACCATATCTTGTTCTTGACCCAAAAGAGCATCAGTACTATCCCAATCACAATGGCAACAGGGGCATACTTGCAAATAAGGGCCTGAAAACCATGAAGGAAAGCCTTGTCACAGACATGAAAACAGGTGAAGTGGGTAAACTGGTAATGCATATCAGGTGTTTGTTATGCTTAACAGTCCACCAGTGATATGACGAGATAGGACATAGTAGCGCATGAGAGATTCCCATATCCCATGTGCATTGGTGAACATAATTTGGGGGTATGGCAGGAATTCATATGGTCAAAAAATAAAGGATGTAGACATGTTCTAAGCATTATTGTGTTAAATTGATCGCAGCAAGACCAACTTAGTTGTCGACTCCTTGAGCACAAATTCCCCTTTTTTCTCCTCGAAGAGCAATGCAGGTAAGGAAATTTGAAGTGGAGTTGCTGGAACTAAGCAAATACAATTTTATGGATTTTGAAAATAAATTGCAATTGCCCATCGATCATTCTACGAATAAGCCATTAACTAGCAGAATTAAGAGAATGAGTATAAAGAAAGATATCATGAATGTAAGAACCATACCGAACTTAATAAAAGCATATGGTCTTGCAGCAGTTTCAATTTGGTTGCCATTGACCCTCTCAAATTCATTTTTGAGATCTTCTAAGTACTGGAAAGCAAGTTTCTTCGGATAAGAGTGGTCACACATTGTCAAATAGCACACACGGCCCTCAATGATGTAACTGTTTGGTTAAATCAAGGTGCAACAAGTGTACCACAAATGATTTTCACAAGGCAAACAGGATGAAAATTCAAGAAAGGATTAGTTTCTTAACATACGGCATTAGTAACACAACTTTCCTGGCATCTTGGTGCCATTAACATCCAAGTATATGGCGAAAGGCAGATGATGCATATAGGGCATAGAATATACAAGTTCCTGCTGATGCAAAAATTGGGAGAGTGGTAGACCAAGTAAAATGTCTAATACAATACTTATTACTCACCAATTCACTCCCCCATAAGCAGCAAGAATATGTTGTCAATGGAATGAGCAGTTAAATTTAAAATGAAGAGGAAAACTAAACAGAGTGTGTATGCATCAACCAACATATCTAGTTGGAATCATTGTCTTTGCTGCTGCAATTAAAATTTGAGCCTAAAACCACAAAAAGGGTAACCATGAGTTAATCTTTTAAGAATTGGCGCGAAACCCCTATAAAAAATCATGAGGGAATAATCTTTTTCAACAGGAACTCTAAATCTGCAGATAGCATAAGAATTAAGGATACTGGAAAAGGTACGGCCCAGTCTCAATTGACATCCTTGATGCTTCATGTTGCCCTTTCGATAAGTTCTTGAACAACAGTTTAGCTTGCTGCTTGTAGAAGTCAGCATCCTTCAGATCCCGACCATCATCTAATCCCTCCACTAACGGAAGGCCATCAGTAACACGTGCTATCATTGTCAGCTTCACCATTTTGGATATGCAGCGTGAAATGAATTAGCATAGGCAATCTGAAAGTGCCACCTGCATGGTAAAGCAGATAAAGGGTAGGAGATACATTAGGCATGTCCCACAGTCAAACTTAGCTGCAAAGTTTTAATGTTCAGTGTGAATTCTACTTATTGCAATGGGCCAGATCTAGTTTTGGAGAAATTCCATTTTAATCACTATGTCTAAACCGGAGTGCAAATAGTACTATCATGGGATTCATTATCCAACTTCTCAAATAGTACATTAAGCTTCCTAGTTTCAGAGGGCAGACACAAATACGCAATCCATACGAGAGCCAACAGGAATGCATGATGGTGATCAAACAAACTGCAGCAGAACAGGTGGAAGTCGTCTGAACTTTTGCATTCTTCAATCAATCATTATCTACACATGTTAAAAGCCTACCACAACCAATACCAGTGAAACTTTAGATTATAAAATATAAGTGCATATTCGGACTTTGGTATTCTTAAGCTTGACAGGAACACCAAGAAATTATAAACTAATCATACGCTCTGCACAACACTAGTGAGACTAGTAACAACAATGTTACGACCAACCTAGAAAGTGCAGAAACCTGACCAAATTCAGCCAAAGTAGATAGCAAACAGTCTGTACCTATAGCCCTACAGAACAATTTCCCTGTAACACTACAACACAGCAGCCCACTGATTTCTGTAATAATAAATTGTCTCTGTTGTATTTCATCAAGAAAGTATCCAATAGAAATCCAATCCATGCGTTATTCTGTATCAATACACAGACTATGTACGATACGACATGAGAAATCACCACTTTGCTATATAGCCATATTACCATGTTTTTTTTAAAAAAAAATGATTCAGCGTGTCATCTTTCTCTAACTATAACAGAACACGGTATAAACCTTAAATAAGAATGCCCTAGATTTTGAGTGTGAGAACTTCCTAGTCTGTGCTTGCAAATAGAAAGGAAGATCATGATTGCTTACTTCCTGTGTGATTGATCATGATTGCTTACTTCCTGTGTGATTGATTATGAATTTATTCAAAGCATTATAACTCTAGAGATGATGAAACCTCTCTCGAAGCATTATCACTAGAGATGATGAAAACTCTACTTCAAAACTCTCCATCAAAGCATTATTACTGGAGATGATGAAAACTCTACTTCAAAACTCTCTCCATCATGTGCGACGGTGTGTTTTTCACATCATCCTTCTCTCCCGCTTCAACCATGAGGACATGGGTACCTTAGTACTTTCCATGCCATTCATGCATCCGGGGTGCAATTCCTCTTAACAGCTTTCTTCCCTTCTAAATGATGTCCTTCACAACAGAACGCTACAAGGTGAAAAGTGGTTTGTGTACTTAGATAAGCTGCTTTTCATAGCTGTATGGAGATAGGCAATATGAAAGAGAACTAGAGAAGAACACAATTACCGGGAACATAGAAACTGCGTTAGTGAAATCTTCTTGCTGAGATGCTTATTCAAGAACAAGCAAGCCTTCGCATAGAGTTCCCTTCCATTGGTTGTTATTATCTACAAAAGTACAAAAAGGGAGAGCTTGATGTCATCATCTGTTGTTAGACTTTGTCCCACAAAAACTGTATTTCTAATCACGTGGGACCCAGCAAGTAATTTAAGAATGGTAATTATGTGAGTTAATTGTCTCAAAATTCCTTTTAATCAATTTTATATATGGAATGTATGCATGTATGGGGTTCATTAAATAAGGTTATTGTGGTCAATTGTCTATCCTCCTAACCTGTCCTAAATTAGCTAGAATTTCAATTTTTATGGGATAAAGGTAGTACAATCTGAAGCAAAGTAGCACAGACAAGCTGACAGATGTGTGGACTCAGAAATCCAAATGCTAACTAATCCTTGCTATAGAAGGCCTGACCTCATCAAATGAGCTCTGGTAGCAGGTAAATAGCACCTGGCATCACAACATGATTACTGCTCCCACTCTCAGACCGCAAATGCCAGCCACTCACAAATGAAGGTTGAATCTGCCACTTACTCCATGCAGTTCTGTTACGTCAATTAAATTACTACCAATCTAACCAAAAGCGTTATAGAACAGAAGTAAGAAAGGGCTCATCATCTTACGGCATGGCACCCAATGTGGCGTTGTGTGTCCTACAATCCCACCGTGGCTCCAGGTGACCTGGAAAGACTTGAACAGAAGCACTGTCCTGTACACGATGTAGAGCATGTAGCCCTCTTCACCTTTGTGATACATCCTGCTACATGTTTCCATGACCTGCACATAGCAGCGGAATCAGGCGGACACATGGTGCATGACCCAACCAAACCAGTTAGAAGAAAAAGTAATGCATGTTGTAGGTTACATGACATCCAGTTTACCGTGTGTAGATATATGGATTTGATGTGGATAAACTGGATATCAGATAGTCCTTCAGTAAAAGGAACAAAAACTCAAGATTGATGAGCCCACTTAAGTCTTCCAGCCAGTATAGGTCGGCAGCTTGCTTATCACAACATCCACCATGCAGTGCCTAAAGTTCAGCATAATCCAACAGGTGCTACCTCTTTTTTGATGCCTCCCTAGCCAAAATGGTGTATATATGGAAGCTAGGCATGTAACGTCTGGTTTCCATTATGTGCAGAAATTCCATGCACAAGTCTTTGTATCCATCCCTGAGCAATCCATCGATGAGCACTGCCTGTACAACGTCATCAGGATTCCAGGTCCTCATGAGCATGTTTTCAAAAGTAATCCGGGCTTCCTTTCTTCTGTGTAATTGGCATAAAGCACATATTAATTCTTTATAACCATTAAGGTGGACCTCACAACCTTGAGTAGACATATGCTTAAATACGCCCATAGCAAGGTCAACGTTCCGGACTCTCAAGAGTGAGCATAATAAGGAATTATATGCCTCCTGATCTGGGCATAAACCCTGACTAATCATGCTTCCTAACAACTCATTTGCCTCAAACCATCTCCCAGCTGTACTTAAGTTTGAAACTAGTGCATTCTGCACCTGAACAGATAGGCCAGGATCCAGTTCTGCTAACTTAGCAGACATAACTGACACAGCATCTTGATCAGTGGTTTGATAACCAAAACTGCAGTTTGGAACTACATCTGGCAAGGCAGCAAGTCTCTGGTCAGCTAATAGGTACTCATTTTTCAAGCCTTTAATCAAAACACCATATGTCCACAATGTTGGTTGGCACCCAGCCTTTATCATTCTTCCAAGAAAATTAAACGCATGCTCAACTTTCCCTGACATGATATATGCTTCAATCATCTTAACATAGGTAATTTCATCTGGAATGAGCCCGTGCCGCTCCAATTCTGCAAACAAATTCTCAGCTTCCTCTACCTTGCCTTCTTGACCTAGAGCGCGGATAAGAGAACTGTAGGTAAGAAGATTAGGCAAACAACCCTGCTCAATCATCTTGTTGAACATTTCAAGAGCCAAAGATGTGGAACCATTTTTGCACAGCCCATCAATCATTGCAGTGTAAGTGACTACATTTGGAAATATCCCTTCTTCAATCATCACTTTACATAGTTCCTCTGCACCAGAAAAATTATTCTGCTTAGTCAGACCATGAATAAGAACGTTGTATGTCTGAACATTTGGTCTGCAACCACTTCTCTTCATATGTTCCAACAATGATGTTGCAGTGTCCAGTTTCTCATCCTTGCAGTACCCATCTATCAGTGCAGTATAGGTAACTTCATTGGGGCATAAGCCATCATCCACCATTTCATTGAACAATCCAAAAGCCGACTCCATTTTGCTTATCTTGCAAAAACCACATATCAGTTCGGTGTAAGACCACTCGTCAGGTTTACATCCACCATCCCTCATAAGGTCTAGAATCCTAAGAGCGCTTGTAGTATTTCCTGAGTCACAATATCCTTTGATGATGGTGTTGTATGTTACAAGATTAGCTGAATGTCCTCTCTGCAACATATTGTTCATCACTAACATTGCCTTCTTAGGATCACCAAGAATGCAATAGCCCTTAATCATTTCATTGTATGTCACGATGTTTGGTGAACAACCATTTCTGCCCATCAAATTTAAAACAACAAACGCATATTTGATTCTCCTGTTCTCAACCAGAATATTAATCAAAGCATTATATGTCACTGTATTAGGGAACACACCATCTCTAGACATCCTATGAAACAGTCCAATGGCCACTTTCAATAAACCTGACACACAAAGACCACTGATAAGTGCCGTGTATGTATACACATTTGGTTCACACCCCTTATTTTTCATATCAACGAACAACCTCCAGGCATCTTCATAGCACCCCATGTCACATAATGCAATAATAGGGCCAGTACAAGTGTGCGCTGTCGGCAGAATACCATGCAATATCATCTCCCTAATCAAATCAAATGCCTCGTTAACCCTCCCACTATCACATAACCCATTGATTAATGTCGAGTATGTTACTGTGTTTGGCTCACAGCCCTCCTTAGCCATCTGGTTGAAAACCTGCAATGCTGAATCCAAGTCATGTTTCCTACAGTGACCAAGAATCATGGACGTGTAGGTGAACGTGTCAGGGCTCATCTCGGATTCGAACACCTTCTTCATGATTGTCTCTGCATCCGCTACATTGCCATCCTTGCACAATGCATTGATTACAGCATTGTAGATAAGTAAATTTGGCTGTACACCCTCGCTCAGCATGCGGTGGTACCTGTCCATGACGGCAGCAGTCATTCCAAGCCTGCTCAGATGGATCAACAGGGCGCTATATGCGAAGAGACCCATCCTGAGGCCGCTTTGGCTGAGCATATCCAGGAAACTCATCGTCCTCGCCATCGCCTCCTTGCTGTGGCAGGACTTGATCAGGTGGATGCGCGCGCGCCCCGCGGCAGCATACCGGCGCGCGTCCACAAGGCGCCTGGCGAGCGCGGCGAACGTGCCCGGCCGGTACGAGTGCGAGCGCTCCCGCGACAAGAAAAGCAGGAGGTCGAGGCCTCGCGCGGCGATCGGGTGCGACTCCGCCACGGAAGCGGCCTGCGCGGGCGTGAGGGAGGCGAGCGCGGCGCTCCGGTGCCAGTCCGGCCGCGCCAGCGCCCGATGGGCCCTCCTGATCAGGGCGTCGTCGCCCGGATCCTGATTCCTCCGCCCGCTAACGCCCCCCGGGTCCACGGGAAGTGGCCGCTCAGATCCTAGGCCCCGAGACGAGGAGGAGAAGGCGGAGACGAGGAGGACGAGCGACCTCAGGCGGGCGGCGCGCGGGGGAGGCCAGAGGGGGCGGAGACGAGAGGGAGGCAGCGACTGGAGGGGCGCTGCCATGGGGAGGATGAGGAGGTGGCAGGTGGCGGCGACGAATGGCGGAGGTAGAGGCCGCGCGCGCCGTTTCGCCGCCGCTCCGCTCGGCGCCCCGCCGCCGCCGCTCCCCTCCGCCGCGCCGCCGTCGTCCACGGCTTCCGCCCCGACGAGGAGAGGTGGAAGCTGGGGCGGCGTCGACTGAAGACCTCGCCGGCCTCGCCCGTTCCCCGCTCCCGCTCCGCTGAGAGCCCCGCCGCCGTCGCCGCCCCGTCGCCGTCCTCGATCCGCCGCCGCCGCCCTCAATCCGCCCTCGATCCGCCGCCGCCGCCGTCGCCGCTCGGGCCGTCCCGGCGCTCGCGCCTCGCGCCGCCCGACCGCTCCGTCGCCGCTCGGACCGCCGGCCGCCGCCCCTCACCCCTGGCCCGAGTGGGGAAAGAGAGAGAGAGAGAGCGGAGAGGAAGATGAGAAAGGAAAGAGAGAGAGAGAGGAGAGAGGGGAGGATGAAAAGGTAAAAGGGTTAATTTGATGAGTAAATTTGATTGGTGGCACAGAAATTGTCCTAGTACCAAAAAAAAATGGCACAGAAAATTTATGCTTTCATTTGAAAGCACAGCTCCGTTAAAATCTTCTGGTTTATAGCACTCCCGTCTCCTTTAGATATAATGGTGGAACTAGGGATGAAATTGCCCTCACTGTCCCACACCAGAATACACCGATTTCCTTTCCCTCGTTCCCTTCTCTCTGTGTGCTCTCTACGGCAGCGGTGGCGCCTGCTCGTGCGGCATGACCACTTCGTCGGCTACCCGAATATCGGCCATCCACGAATAACTGCGGCGGCACGGGTGCGGCGTCCAAGCCCAGCAGCGCGGAGCTCGTCCCAGCGGGCACTGTCTCCCATGGAGTCCTCGCTGACGCCGATGTCGCTGTGACGCCCAAAATAGCAAGAACAAAAGAAATGCGAAAACAACAGTATCGTTGGTTGGCTTTGAGCAAGCAACAGCAGTAGCAGCCAGCCAAGCCGTGCAGTCCCCATCCAACAACAAAGTCGTCATCGTCGTGGTGCTTGGCCTCCTCGAGCACCCAGGCGTAGGTGTCAACAGCTAGTACTACAGAAGGCAGTGAGGAGGTTCGGATCCAAAAGCATGGCGAACGGGCTCCGACGATAGCGGCGCGGTCAAACGAGCTCGCGACCGTAGAGACATGGTTGCGCGGGCTAGATGGCAGCCATGGCAACGTGGCCACACGGGATAGACGGTGCCGTGGCGTACGGGCTCGCCGCCATGCCGTCGCGCTTGGAGAGAAGCGAACAAGGCAGCAGAAGGAAGATGGTGAAACAAAGGTCCTTTTAGTCTTTCTGCATTCCGATTCCTTTGACTAATGGCTAAACTGACAGAAGTGCTGTAAAATCAAAAAAAATTGACGGAGCTGTGCTTTCAAACGGAGGCATAAATTTTTTGTGTTATTTTCTGGCACTGGGTGAATAGCTGGGCTATCAATCGAATTTCCTCTATTTTGATTCATGCCATTGCAAATGTGGCTATTCAGAAAAATGTCATTATAATTCGACTATTCGTAACCGTGCCACTTCAATTTTACAAAATTAAAGCCATGCCACTGTCATCACCTTTTCCATCCATCCTCTTCCTTTCCGTCTTCTTCCTCACGCCGCTCGGGTTCGCTGGCACTAGTGCTAGCCATTACTACAGATGGGCACGGAGCTGATCCACGCGCGCGACGCCGGCAGTGCGGTTACCGTTGCGCACGACGTCGATGGATGGGTTCACGCCGCCGCCGCAGCTACCTCCATGTCCTCGTCATCTGCGCTCACCTTCGACGGCCACGGCGAGGAGCACAACGCAATTCGTGGATGGACATGGACATGGACGCCCACGCCACCGAGCTGCAACTAATCGGCCATGGCCTGACGGCGACGACCTCCTCCTCCTCCTGCTTCAGCTCCGGCGGTTCCGGCGACAACGGCATGGTGATTGTGACAACCACCCCGAAGAGCGCTGCCGCCTCTGGTTCGCAGAAGCGGGCACGCACGCCGTCGTCGCCGTCGCAGGGAGCAGAGCTGCTCGAGTACTCCAAGAAGCAGCGCGCCAACAACATGGAGACACAGAGCTCAACTGCCAAGGTACTACATTACATTGCATCCATGTCGACGATCTATGAACAAAATGTTGCAGTGTTCATCAGTTGGAGATGCAAGTTCTCCGACGAATTGAATTGAACTGAACGCATAATTGTGTTTGTTTTGGCATATGCAGAGCCAGCACGAGAGGAAGGAGATGCGTGAGAGGATTAGCGAGAGGAAGGAGACACGTGTGCCCATTCTACTCGACCTCTAGCTCTGCGCCGCCACCGCCGCCGACCGCGCCGACTCCGACGAGGCCTACGTGTTTGAGGCCAAGACGGTGCGCCACATGGAGCTGCTCGTGTAGATTGGAGGTGGCCTCGCCACCGGCCTTCGGCGTGGGCCGCCGCGGCGTTGCTCGTGACGGCCAGATGGTGCGGCGGTGGCGACGACGACCACGAGCTCCTAGCCCTCATCGATGCCTCCAAGGTCAGTAGTAATGGCTAGCACTAGCGCCGGCGAGCCCGAGCGACGTGAGGAAGAAGACAGAAAGGAAGAGGATGGATGGAAAAAGGGGACGGCAGTGGCATAGTTATAATTTCGTAAAATTGGAGTGACACTGTTACGAATAGACGAATTGTAATGGCATTTTTCTGAATAGTCACATTTGCAATGGCATAGATCAAATTAACCCAAAGTAAAAAAGGTGGTACGGGTGGGTCCAACCACAAGCAACTTGCTACACTTGCAATGTGGGTGTAGTGTCTTTTGGAGTTCCCAAGCCTACATGGCAGCTGTGGCATTGCAATTTGCTAGGACGCATTGCTACCGCCCTTAGGGTCGGAGAGACGGTGGCACCCAGGTGCGCCCGGCTGATGCTTGCCACTTGCCATTTGCAAGAGGTGTAGGTCGGTCAAGTGCAGTATCTATGATCCGTTACCATCGGACGGTCATTTTTTCCATCTTTCTCCTCCCTTTTGTTTTTCCCCCAACTTCTCTTCTCCATTGACCACCAAGCGTTTGTTACTAGGGTTTGTAAATTTGTCGAAAATCACTCAAACTTTGAACCTATATCCAACTCAAATATAAATTTTGATAGGATTCAATATAATTCTGAACGAAACTCATAAATTCATGTAGTTCAATGGGGTCGTATTCTAAACTGTTCAAACTTGTAAACCCAACGTGAGCCGCCAAGAGTTGTGACACCATCTCCCTTGTACACTGATGTCATGAGGCGATAAGGTCCAAAATGGAGAGAGGTGGGGTAGCAAACCATGGTGTATTGAGAGGTGAGGGACAAGGTGATTTTGTGGTCAGCAAGGGGTAGTTGTCGTCCAAGCTACGGCGATGTATGGTCGTACGTTGGTGGTGGTGGAACATTGTATCGCCGCAAGGGATACAATTGAGGTCGAGGGTACCGTGGTGCAGTGAGAGGTGGTGGACATGGTGATTTTGTGGTCAACAAGGGGTGGTTGTCGCCCAATCTACAGCGATGTATGGTCGTACGATGGCGGTGATGGAACGTTGCATCACCGTAGGGAATACGATGGAGGCCGATGGTACCGTGGTTGCCATGCTGAATGAAGAATAGGTGGTGGCTTTAGAGCGAACTGGCATGGAGAAAATACTAGCCAACACTTCCCGGCGACGGGCGGAGTGTCGTCCGCGATCGGTGTGGCAGGGACAAAATGAGCGGCGAAGGTTGTCGTGCCTGTGGCACTGACAAGTGCCATGAACGACGTTATTCCCATGACTTCTACTACGACATGGCTTTCGGCAGGGGTTGATAGTGCTACTACTTTGCTTGCCTTCGTTGGTGGGAGGACATGTAAATGTCTATGTTGTAACTGGTTTTATAGTACTGATTGTTGCCGGCTTCACGCTTTGTGGTATGTTGAGTGTTGTTGGCTTCTCTAGCGTGCTAGGACCGACGGTAGTGGGCAGCGTGGGAGTCGACATGGCGGGTTTGAAAAACGGGATGGTAGACAGGAGTAGCATGGTTGTTAGCTTCCAGGGTGTGGATGGTGGCATGGCAGGCAAGGAGGCATTGGTAAGTAGGAAATTTGCTGTAGGGGCTACTGCCTGCAGTGAGAGTGCTGTTGTGGCCCAACCGTGGCCTTTGGTGATGGCACATGATGGTTCCCCCAGTGTGTCAACAGGAAGGATTAAAGTCCTTGCAAGCAGGGCAACGTCCACAAGATATCCGGGAGTATTGCAAGGAAGTGTTGTGTTCCAAGGTGGTGGAGTGATGGCTCAAGAACAAATGGCAGGTATGGGTCGAGAGATTGGCATTGGTAGCGGCGGACGACGAGAAAAAAAATAAGGTGTGGCAGAAAAACAACATAACACTAGGCAAAATGGTCTAGATTTGCAATGTGTTCCCAAACACTGCTAAAAGTTTTCACAAAAATTGTTTTGATGTAAAAAATCATATTGATCTGTGTCGTGGTTCAAAAATTCCTGAACAAAAATTCCAAATTTTTGGAGATTTTTAAGAAGGATGCCAATTTAGCAAAATCTATCCATATTTGTCCAAATTATGTCCACATTTCAAATTATTTCAGAAAGATAGAAATTGCCAAATCGATATATTGAACCTTAATCCAGGTTGTGTCATGTAACAAGCTAACAACCGGTTCTTATATATAGTCAGCTAATTATGAGTGAAAAATAAACGATATATGTGGTTGCTTATGTAACTAAGTACGAACAACCAACGCTTATATAGTCAGCTAATTACAAGGAGAGTGAAAACAAGATAATTGGTGAAGAAGTTAATCATGTACTCCGCCACTAGCTAACAAAATCAATGTATGGCGAGCGCCATATCTCGCCGTACCAGAAGCTCCGCCACTAGACACTAGAGATATGGGTGGTAAGGCTAAATGTTGGTATTGTTATCATTGCACTACACAAAGGGCCATACCCTTAGCGAGTACTAGTTATCGTGCACGTGCAAGGCACGTTTTGTTTATATATAGAGAGAGAGATAACAATAATGACCTAAAAAATAGTGCACTACAAAAAAATCTTGACTTCTCAAGGTAAAAATAGAATTTCATACACCATAGTAAAATGATAATTTGGATTATTCCTATAAAATCTTTTCTGGTGAATCACACTACCTTCTAGCCAACAAAGGTACATATATATTCACAATGTAAAAAGTAGCCATTCCCATATTCCACATCAAATTATAGTATAGAAATGAAATCCATGGGGAAAAAAAGGCATTAGCATTCTTGTCAAGAT